ACTTAAATACTTTTTTTTTTGTAAATACATACATATTATACATAGAAAACACCCAGTCCAATACAAACAAATATGTTCATGCACACAAATGTTTGTACTGTGCGGGAATCGAACCCGCAACCTCCGGAATAGTAGTCCGATTCGAACCACTACACCAAACGGCCGACATTTATAATGTGTTCTTTGGATTACATTTTAGGGATCACCTGCTGAATGGAAACCCACTCTGTCTTATTATTCTCAAGTTTAAAATGATGACTCTATTTGATGACACTAGTTAAACCTTCCACTACATATTGAGGTTAATCCCGGCCACCTGGTGACCCCCTGGACCCGTTCCCTTCTCGCCCTGTTGGTCCTGTTCTCTCAGCTATCAGGACAATAAATCGACCATCACCATAATATGCAAATAAATATGAATACCTAATTATAATGTGACGCACCGCGATTAGGTTGCTCAATGATATCTGATCTAATTTGATTATGATTAGGTATGATAGTGGGGTCTGTTTACTAAAGCATATTTGCTGTTTTATAAAATCCTAATTTTATGAATCACTTGACATTAAACTGACAATAGTGACTGAGTTTCTTGCGCTACTTCTTCTCAGCACTGGCCCATTTATTGTCCTGAAGCAGTGGTAGGGTCAATAATATTGGAACGCGTAAAAGTGCTTTTTAAAAGCCTTTTGAGTGCGTTTTTATGAGTTTAAACTATTTATTCCTTTAGATTTTCACGAGCTACTAAAGTTGTTTTTACCAATTTCCTAGTCTCCGATGATTTGAGTTACTTCTCGAAAACAATCGCGGCATCTTTACTATATCATTGAGAAATCGTAGTAATTTTTTGTTATCAAATGGGTGGATTGGGTTGTACCATAAAAACGGCTCCACCCTAAACCGCACTATGTGATTCGACAATAAGTGTGGGCGGGACAAGGATCAATGAAATATTAGAAACGAAGAGCAAACAAAAGCTCACTGGGGAATCTAAGGATTAACGCACAATAAGTACCTACTTTCCCTCTCTTACAATAGCAACTTGACATACCAGCAGATAGCAGGTAGTATTTTTATTTTATTTTTCTTTATTAAGGAAACAAACAGCATGAATTGATGCATGTGAACTTAAGAATAAAAACAGTACAGTAGCCTAATTAGTATATCAGGTACTGACAACGGACGAGGAAGAAATGTCAACAAAAGCACGTTTTAAACCTAATCCAGTTTTCAAATATTATACAAATTCGTATTATGTAATTAACTTGCTTATTTTGTGTGAAATCATCCATATTAGATTCTGTGTTTATAAATCTTGAATACAACTTATTGTTTATACAAAATGTGTAGAAACGCCTATGACTAAACACTACCACGTGCAAAGGGAAAGTCCCTTTAAAAAGGGAGTAATTCGCCACATGTATACTTAAGCCATAAAAGTTTCAATTCACAAAAAATAATAACATCTCATCTGCACCCTGCAACAGTCCATTAAAAGATCGCGGGGATTTATTTTACAAGCCGGCTCTGAGGGGAGCGGGCCCATTTAATCTGCAATCAATAGAGTGCTCGCTAATTGCACGGGCCCCCAAAGCTAGCCCCACAAGCCCCAGCCTGCCTGAGAGGCTTGCCCTAATTGCGTCTCTGTTGCTAATAAATAACAAGCAGGACGAATGATGGGGTAAGCACAAAATTCACATTTCAATTAGATTTTTTTAATTTTTGTCGTAAAACTAAATATGTATTGTTTCCACGGAGAACTGAACTATATTTTCAGACAAGCACCTATGTTCGAGTTCATGTTTTAATTGCAATTTGTATGACTCATTTCAGATAAATGAACATGGTAGATCCTAACTTAAAGCATTAACAATTAAAACACACTTGGTCTTCAGCTTTCACAATGGAGACTTCCAGATTAATATAAATATTAACGTTAGGAAGAAAACATTGGCCCACCTACAGGATACTATTCGACAAGGCCTCACATACGAGCGAACATTAACTCACGCACGCGTATTCTTGTGTATGATGGGAGAAAATAAAGAAAATGGTGTACTAATTACTGTGCAGTATTTAACTGCCTAAATAATAATAAAAACACAGAATTTACTTTTGTAAGTTGCCTCAAGACACTAAGAGGTAAATAAGTAGTTAATATTATTCATGATAATTCATGCTAAATCATGTATTTCCTCCGCCATTTTCCGCAGTTTGGCACCTCACGTCACTTCATTTTACCGAAGTCAGCCCTATAGCTTCGGCGCAGTGCCGATCACTGACGTTTGTCAACAAAATGGTGCTTGACTCTTGAGATAGGCTAAATTACACCATATTGTTAATGACATTGAGCATACATTTTTTTAAATACCTTCGCGAAGTAAAACTTCTGTACGTAGTACTTATTATTATTCTGTGCTAATACCTACTTATGTAATAAAAATCATGAAAGCTTTTTGAGTGGTGGTTACCAATAATGAAAGCGATGTTCAGTTAAATGCACTTCTGCCAAAACCGCACGTTATTGATGCCGTGTCCGGCGTGGAGCGTGATCCATAAAGCTCATAGCAGACTTATCAACTCAGAAAGGGATATACATCGTATCGCCTATTCAAATATTTATCTTTTTATTTGACTTAAAATTACGTTTACGTGACAATAGATAGCAAAAGTAGCCAAATAAAATGTATTTTAACAAAAAATAATATTTTAAATTTACTCTATCGTTAAATTGGTCTTTAGAATAAAAAAACAAAAAAAAATTGAAATTAAAAAAGTTTTATTCTTTAGAATAATATGGCGTTTCAAACAATAGTCTGGTGAAGTGAGTGTCTCTCTCCGAAAAGCGGGACCGAGCCTGTCCCGCGCGGGACATTTAAATTTGATTTAAAAATCGCCAAAATCGGGACGTCTGGCAACGCTGCCTGGATCTGTCAATAGGCCGTATAGGCCGCGGCCTAGGGGCGGCAGATTTCAGATGACGCTTACTCGATTTCAGAACATAAAAGTGAAATAAAGATCCAACCCCACACTAGCCTACGGGAGGCAAAACTGTAAATCCGCCACTGCCGCCTCGACTTGATACGGCTACGATCCATTTCCAGGTTGATAAATGTGCGACGTCCTTTATTCCTCCCCGGCCGAGCCGACTGTTTCCGCTATAACGTTATTAAATGAATAGACGACACACGTCCAACTGAATACTATGGCATGTATAACGTTGTAAAAGGTGCAACTGCTTAACAAATGCTGTCGTTGACTGTACCTAAATACGTGCAACTGCTGACCAAATTAATATGTGAGATGTGACGTTCCATCTTAGGCTTAGCGAACAAAGGCTTGTTTTAAATTACGCGTTACCCTTTTTTGATATTTATTTATTTAAGGATAGTACACAGCACAATATCAATCTGTGATAACAATGTGATATTAAACGAAGTGCTAAATAAAATAATCTTTTGTAAGCGTTGACCAGAATTTGTACCTACATTATTTATAATATGGCAAAGTTTACCATAAAGTAATGTTGCCAGGCAAACGTTGCAGAAATTATTCTACTTATTTTCAGCCGCTCACCTGTTAGATATCTAGGTCAGGAAAACTGTTTGGATTGTTTTTGGACGCATCTAATACTTATATTAAGAGGTAGGTAGGTATAATTTGAATAGGAAATTTTCATTTAATTCCGAATACCTTCACGTTTGCTTTATTAATGTCCATTTTTACAAGCTTTATATTGACTTCACTTCTTAGTATGTGTGGGACAAATCTTGCAACTGAATTTAAGACCAGTTCTCCTCAACCGATTGAGCTGAAATTTGGTATACTTATGTAAGTACGATGACAATGCAATATTATGGTACCATTGAGCTGGTCTGATGATGGAGTCGGGAGGTGGCCATAGGAACTCCTAAACAAAACGGCGGAATCTCATCGTGTTTGGGTTCGTTGGATTTGTCTTTTTGAGCACTTTAGTATTAGACAATGTCCAGGGTCCTGAGATTAAGATATAACTAAAAATTGTAAAATAAAATAATAATAAAAATAAACTTTTTTAAAAACAAGCTTTTATTCTGAATTTCGAAAGCTTGTAGCGCAAACAGAGAAAAAGAGGAATAAATTCCATGCGCGATACAGGCTTTCGAAATTCAGAATAAAAGCTTGTTTTTAAAAAAGTTTATTTTTGTTATTATTTTTTAGAATACGACTACGGGTTTGTACGTATAAACATTTTGATTATTTCTCGTGATGATATGTGTATCATCACGAGAAATAATCAAAATGTTTATACGTACAAACCCTGTATAACCACTGACCGTTTCTTAATGTAGGTAATGTCGAGTACCCTAAAGTTATTTTTTACGGCTTCATACTGTTTTTAACCTTTGTTGGCCCGCGTTAGCCTTTTACGTCCAGTGAAACCTGTAAAGTACGAGTTTATTGTTTTGCTTGTTCGCCTCTACAAAACTTTTGGTTAATTTTACAACAAATACGTTCGTTCTGGCAATGTTCACGTGGCCGTTCATTAGAACAAAACCTTTTAAGGATAATTGCGTATTTAGTCACGGGGAGAAACAAAGTTAGTGTCTAAAAAGTGCAATATTTACAATAAAATGAATTTATTTATCTTCTACATTTAGTTTTCACGTATTGTATTAGGGTTTTCATCAAAAACGCTGCTAATAGAAGTCAGAACAGTTTGAACGAAATACCCTCAAAACAATATCGAGTATTTTGTTAATTGTGGTGGTTGAATTGTTGCCCCCATATGTCATTATTGAGATGAAGAAGCTTCGAAAGTAAATAAAAAGTGGTTTCCCTGTTCCCGGTTTTTTTAACCTGTGGTATAGTTATTGCAATTCACGAAAGAGACACTGGGTCCTTCTAAAAACTCATTTTTGGAAAGTTGGGATGCATACGTTTGAAAGTACTTGTCGCGGGAGGTGCGATTTATTTGACATTGAGTGTATTAGTTTATGGAATGTATGTGTCCCCGCCAGACGCTGGAGCTGTCGCGCGGCGCGGGCGCGGGCGAGGAGGCGGCGCGCGGCCTGTACAAGCTCATCTTCCAGCTGCTGCTGCTGCTGGAGACCAACAACAAGATGGTGGTGGCCGTGTACCACGCGGCGCTAGACAACAGGGTACGTACCACACATGGGTCCGTGGCCGAGTCCCCCAGTTTTCGACGCACCCGTGGTCGACGCCCCCGGTCAGTTAAATTCGATTTGAAGCAATTTTTAATCAAATGTACAGTCAGGCACAAAAATGTTTATAAACGAATAAATATTTATTAGGCCAGTAGAATTAAACACAAAAATGAATCTAAAGAAATGAAAACAAAAGTTTTTTGTTTCTTACTACTGCTGGTTTTGGGTTACAATTTTGCTCCCAGATTGCATAAATAGCGTCAAACATGCATAGTTTAGTATAATAATTAGCTTGTGAAACTTTTTTCGTTGACTGTACTTAGTGCAAAAGCCGAAAAAAATATGATATTAAATTTATTTAAATCGGGGGCGTCCACCACGGGTGCGTCAAATACTGGGGGACTCGGCCACGGACCCAGTAGGGGAGACTGGGTACGGTTGAAACAATTTTGCTTTTATTGTCTATAATTTTGTTGTTTATTAACCAAGTGACGATTACGATACGTGAAATTGAACTTTGAAGTTTTAGCTATGATATGGCTGTATCATTATAGTTCCCGGGTTACTATTTTAAGAAATATACGAAATTTAAAAAAAAAGAAATTTTGTTTCAACCGTCCCCATGCCAGGGGCGGTTGAAACAGCGATTGGGGTATGTTGAAATACATACAAATAATACAATAATCACTAATAAAACGTGTTTTATTTATCATTAATACTACGAATGTTAAAATTATGGTACCACATGACGGCATTAATCAGTCTAAGTATTTAATATTTCTAAAACATTAATTAGCCTTTGATAAGTAGTAAACATTAAAAAAAATAACATAAATATGATAAAATAAATGATATTTCCAAATCTAATAAACATTAATAATAAAATAATATTAACATTCTGAATAAAGTTAACGAAAAACTTTTTTTTTCTTCAAACCATACTTTTCCGCCGCTTTCCGCAGGGAATCTCCAGCTTTTACCTCCTCTTATGCTTTACCAAGTCAATTTCCTCCCTGGAAATCTTCCTTACCCAAACTCTCGGCATCTACAAAAAATAAACATTAATACATTTTCTGTTTCAACCGTACCCAAAAAAAATGTTTCAACCGTCCCCAACCCCACTTTTGGTAAAATATACTTTATAGTTTCGACACTAATAATCATACAATAAAAATAGTTACTGTCCCTTATTCTACAAGCTTCATTATAGTCGCAAACGCACACTCGATACATTCACATAAAAAGAACAGGTAGTATAAGCGTTAATGTCTGAAGAAAAATACTTACTTTGGGTAGTAAAAAACAAAATGGTGTTTTATACACAACGTCAACGCGTTAGGAAGTTATTAGGCACTAAATTCGTGTTCGGACCTATCGTCCGCTTCTTTTTCCCCTAGGACCCCTTACTCCCCGTGGAACCGTTTACGAGATATTTGCTCTGTTTCAACCGTCCTTTGTTTCAACCGTACCCAGTCTCCCCTACCTACTTATTTGAAAAGTTAAATTGACGTTATTGTTTTATGGTATCAAAAAACCTCGTAATCAAATCAACTCGATGGTAATGCCCAAAAAATCACGCCAGCTGTGAATATGGAATAAAATTGGCCGTGAATTTCCAAATAAAATAAAGAAAATAACTAATCGCCTTTTCAATCATGGATTGGTTTGTTTAATACTTACCACGATAAAATGAACAAAACTTTTGCAAAACTTAAGCACAACTACTTAACGGTTGGTCCGTTAAGTAGTTACCTGAAGTTATTGTTAAAAGCTTCATCAAACACAGTTTTTGTTGTGAAAGTTTCAGCGAGACTTGAAAAATTCATTCACATTAATTCTCTAAGAAAGAGTTCTTGCTCAACTTTGAAAGTAGTGGTTAAGACTTACTAGAAGTCGTAGAAGAACAAAGTTTTATAACGTTGGGCAAAACCTTTCACAAGTGCGCGGGTGAAGCAAAAAGAACTCCGGCGAATTGTTAAAGATGTTTCTTTTACAAAGACTGTTATGTTGAATATTTCTTGGACGGTTAATTTATTAATACACTCTAGCTAGAATATTCGAAAAGTTAACGATAGTATACAGATTTTAAATTTTCGCCGGCCATTAATTACGTTTGAGACTGAAAGCTTAATAATGGCTAATCAGTCTGATCTATGATATGAATTTGCTGGTGTTTTATATTTTGGATCAGTATTTTGGACGAGTTCCTCAAACTGCTTATGGTTTAAAAAAACTCATAAAAACTTGCAAGTAGGCTTTTAAAAAATTTTACGCGTCCCAGTATTAACCCTGCCACTGCTTCAGGACAGTAAATGGGCCAGTGCTAAGAAGAAGCAGCGCAAGAAACTCAGTCACTATTGTCAGCCTCTTTGTGAAGAGTTTACATTCTTTAAAATATACATAGTTATAAATGTTGATGCGAGCTAAGCATTTAAACATTCCAAATATTTTTGCCTTGTACGGGACTATTCCCACCTCTCGTTCCCACCACTGCAACTCCTGTGTAGCCAGGATCTACAGCTTGACCGCCACAAAAACCCAACCAATGAAGGTCAAGTTTGTCCCGGGGGAAAGTTAAACTGTCATTGGACCCGCAACGAAATTAATCAGAAGAACTTAGGCAGTTCGATTTTTTCAAGTTATTTATAATTTTCAACATAGGAGGAGTTCGAAATATTTATATAATATTTTTGTCTTGTGTATAAAATGTAATAAATATGTATACAGGGTGTGGAGATGAGCATGAGCGTGTGCGCGGTCCGCGCGGCGCTGCTGGCGAGCGCGGCCGACGCCGACGCCTCGCCCGCGCCCGCTGACGACGCGCGGCTACTGCTGCTCATGCAGCGCCAGAGGTGAGCCTTAGGCTTGTGTTGTACATGTACTACGTACTAAAGCCTGGTCCGTGAGCACGTAGAATCCCGTCCAATGACCCCACGCTACCCATCCTTATCGCTCGCGCGTAATTATGTTGCTGTCGCGACTGTGCGACGCGCGCCCCGCAGTGAGTGTGCGAGCGCGACAGCAACATAATTACGCGCGAGCGATAGGGATGTGTAGCTTGGGGTCATTGGACGGGATTCTACGTGCTCACGGACCAGGCTTTAATAGGAAGCAATTCCTTTAAGTGAACGAGAACGAACTATTCCTTTTTGGTCGTTCAAATCGGTCTTTTAGTTCACTTTAGTACAGCCGATCACGAATGAACAGGTGTGAACGAGACGTGAAATTGGTGACATGTGAGCGCGAGTGAGATGGGTACGGTTCTGTAACTCTGTTGCAAGTATTTTTCGATATTAGGCCATAAATACATACGAAAAAAGACTTTTTTCGTTCGATCTACCTAATAGAATCAGTGTACTAAAATGAACTAATAGCACAGAATAATAATAAGTACTACGTACAGAAGTTTTACTTCGCGAAGGTATTTAAAAAAATGTATGCTCAATGTCATTAACAATATGGTGTAATTTAGCTTGTCTCAAGAGTCAAGCAAGTTTGTCAGAAGTTTTGTTGACAAACGTCAGTGATCGGTACTGCGCCGAAGCTATAGGGCTGACTTCGGTAAAATGATGTGACGTGAGGTGCCAATCTGCAGAAAATGGCGGAGGAAATACATGATTTAGCATGAATTATCATGAATAATATTAACTACTTATTTACCTCTCAGTGTCTTGAGGCAACTTAAAAAAGTATATTCTGTGTTTTTATTATTATTTAGGCAGTTAAATACTGCACAGTATTTAGTACACCATTTTCTTTATTTTTTTCCATCATACACAAGAATACGCGTGCGTGAGTCAATGTTCGCTCGTATGTGAGGCCTTGTCGAATAGTACTCTTGTAGGGGGCAATCGTGCGTGTTTTGTTTTCGATGTAAACTCGCGGAGATGAACAGGCCTGCTAATAGTACTAGAAAACCGAACTAGTTCATTTGGCCGATTGTACTAGTTCGGAGCGATCCGTTCAGTGTCCGAGTAAGAACAAGCCTAGTAAGCCTCCCTTAGTAGGCGCACACCGCTGATTTTCGTTGGCCGATAGTTGTGCCCGATTTTAAAATCGTATGAAGAATCGGCCAAATCGAATCGCCGTAGTGTGCGCACTCCCAATACATGTCCATACTGATCGACTGCCCGACTAAACTATCGGCCGACGAAAAATCAACGGTGTGCGCCTACTCTTACTGCTGCTGCCGGTGACACTACTGCTGGACTTTTGTATCTTATAGACTAGCGGCCGTCCGCGACTTCGTACGCGTGGATCCCGTTTTAGTCCCTTAGGGGTGGAGTTTCGGAAAACCCTTTCTTAGCGGATGCCTACGTCATAACATCTACCTGCATGCCAAATTCCAGCCCGATCCGTCCTGTGGTTTGGAATGTGCGTTGATAGATCACTATGTCAGTCAGTCACCTTTGAGTTATATTTTATTTAGATTCATGCCTTTTGCTTATTTGACCTGGAAAAATAGCGTTTAAGGAGTGGAGAAGAGATTATTTTTGAGGAATACAACAAAAACTGAAGGTGTTTCCACTACCGCTGATGACGATGTAGACATCTTGTATAACTAACTAGTAGTCATTCCGCTTACCTAATTCGGTTCTGCAATCCTCTCTTATAGTCTGAAATAGCTGGAACCATAATGTTTCAATGTTACCTAAAACATTAAATAAGATGCACCACCGCCAGAAAAATGTGTTGAGTTAGGGGACTACGCCAAATTACACGTGTAACTCAATAAACGTCAATATCCCGCGCCCAAAGTGAGCGAGACGAATCCTTTATTCATAGCAGTTTGCGGCGTATTATTTGGCAATACATCACAGTCCCTTTCATGCTAAACTCACTCTTCCACTCTTCACTAATATTTCTACAATATTTACGCGAGATTTGATCACATTGACAAAAAAGAAACGCGATATCTCTTTTTGTGGGTATTTAAATGAATCATTTTGTGTTGCGCTAAGCTGCGAACAATTACACGGCCAGTGGGTGCCGAGTCTCTTGAAAGTTGATTAAGTCACGTTATAATGGCTGGTCATTTGACTCGGTCTTTTGGTTTCCTTTCATCCCGACAGATGGTCAGTCGCCATTGTGTCTCTATCAAAGGGTCGATACAAGTTTAACTTGTCGGAACATGGAATATTCAGGGCTTGCACGGAACCTAATGATGGACGGTACAAAAGAAGCATAAGATTTGTTCCTGTTCCTTACAACAGTGGCGCCCAATTTTGGCTGTACTCGCATAAAAGAGATTTACATTTAAAAGGGGAATTTAAATACCAATTGAGAGTTTACTCCTTACAAATGCAGCATCATACCTGTTTATTGAATAAGATATGAAATTCGTACACATGGTTAACATAAAAATCGTGAATAAAATTCACATATACGTTATCGTCAAGGTCAATCGTCAATGAGGGCTATCGTTTTTATACTTAACAGTTGGCACCCCTGTAGACAGTGGCGCCATCTTGATGAGTGCAAATACGATAGTCCTCCTACCACTTTCGCGCTCACCAGCCGGCGCCACTGTCTTCGCTACTAGCAAGTGACAGGACCTTACTCTACAGTGGCGCCAACTGGTGAGCGCTAAAACGATAGCCCTCAAAGAGGGTGTCTGTTTCATTGTACTATTGTTAAAGGTGCCCCTTAGGATGATGAATAATTAGGGCGTTGAAACCGATGTTTGTATTATTTTGTATTTTTTCTATAGAAACTAGTTTTTTCTCAATCGTCGTGATATTTTGGGATCGGATACTGACTGACCACTTTACTACATACGAAAACTGACAAATCGCTTGCATGTCGTTGAAGTTTTGTTACGTGAATACGCCAACAGGGCCTTTGGCTACGGTTACCTAGCCACTGGTGGTTGTTGTGGTGGTATTAACGCTGCGTTGCGATGCGTTGCGTAGGTGGGGCGCGGCGCTGGCGGCGGCGCGCGAGCGGGGCGCCGAGCGGATCCTCGAGCGCGGCGAGCTGCCCGACGACGACGTGGCGTGCCTGCTGCACGTCTACTGCAAGGCGCTGGCGCAGGCGCACCCGGGTAACAACATACATACACTTTGTTCATCATCATTAGAGACCGGATTATACAGTGTGTTTGGGATATGGCTAACGATAATTTTTGTTAAAAAATTCAGTTTTGACGGGCACATAATAAATAATTAATATTTTTGTGTAGTCACATAAAAAATAATTTAAAAAACTAACCACCTACACTTTATTCATCGCCATCATCATCAAGCTATTTAGTCTCTACAAACAGGAACAGACAGAAGACCATCTCTAACTTCATCATCAACATCTTTAGTTTCTACTACAAGAGGACGATCCTCACACTGGTCAGACGGGTCGGAGAGGTCTGCACATTTCTCCTTTAGTCGCCTCTTGCGATATTCTCGGAGAGAGCGGAAATTCTGATTAAGATTCTGCCGGAAACACACCGGCTTTAGGCCTAAACAGTTTGATCTTGACCTTCTTCTTGAGCTTCTTGTAACTAGTGTATACCTTTTACAAGATTTGACATTTGTACTTACAAATGTCAAATCTTGTAATAGGTATACCTTTTACAAGATTTGACATTTGTACTTACAAATGTCAAATCTTGTAATAGGTATACAGTTGGCGTCCTACTGTATTTAGACAAATCCATCTCATCAAAAGTGCCTCTTGTTAGATTCCAAATCAATCGTTGTCCATAACACGTCAATTTAGACTCCATTTTCCCTACAGACATGGTGGCCATCACGCGGCCCGTCAACGAGCTGTCGCAGAACCTGTCCTTCATGATGGAGAGCCTCTACAAGGTGTCAGTGGCGCTGCAGCGCTCCGAGCTCGGCTGAGCCACCGCCACCGCCACCGCCACCGCAGCCGCAGCCACGGCCGCGGCGCAATTTAAGCTAGGTGATGACGATGACTGTAGGAAATCGACACCATTCGCACCATAAATTCCATTTGTTTCGCTAAATTCTTCGAATTTATGTAGATAGCTGTAGGGAGTCGACACTATTCGTATTTTTTCATTTAATAAGGCCTGATTTTTCAATAGCTGAATAACTTTTAACTGAAGAATTTAGTTTGGCATATTGACAGTTTCAGTATGGGAAATATTATGTCAAAATGACAAGTTAATTCTTCAGATAAAAGTTAACTGACGATTGAAAAATCGGCCCTAATTCGCATAATTATCTGTAATCTGACTCGTAAATAACACATTATTACAGGTTTTAGTCGGCTAATGCCGAACTGGCGATCTGTAGTTTCTTAGCGGCCATTTTCTCTAACATTCACCTGTTACTATTTTCCTGCAGTCTTTTCTTATGTTCACTGACTCGACAAAATGCATGGCGCCCATGACCTATCGTCTTATTTTGGTAGAGGTCATGACCTCATGGCACACTTTTCCGTCACATCCGGATCTTTGTCTCCTGAAACTTTGATCGGAAGGATAATGTGGGTCAATATGATCTATTTTTAGAATATGGAAACACGAACTCACGCCTCGTTGCTATTTGCTTTGCCCAAAGATTGACTTTCAAGAGAAAGACAACGTGGTAAAAATGTTAATTCACAATATAAAAGAAAAGTTTTGAAATTATATGAAGGTGTCTACTCCCGAATTAGAGATGAAATAGAAATCATGAGCACGGCCTTTCAAATAGATGTAATTGTATGAACTTTTTAATGAAACAATGCTTATTTTCTTCTAAAATTTTTAGCAGCAACCACGCAGGCACGCAGCGTTATTATAAGTATACGGCCATATGTGCATCTATATTCCTACAATCTCTACTGTACTTGAATAAATATGTCAGAAATGTGAAAGTAATTTAAATGAATTATCTAATTTGGATAGTTCTTAGTTAGCGTAACGAAAAAATTAAACATCGTCGCGTAGCCTGGCCCTACAAATTGTATTGTACTTGTTGCTGCAGCTTAACAACGTTTTTGATTTCAACATGAAAATAGCATGAAGTGCCTAATAATAAAAATTGCTGACTATTAAAATATCTATATTCCAACGTTCGCCTAGCATACTCGTGATAACAGTATGTTACTTAATCTTGAGTTAATGGAAATCTAGGGACGGAATCAACTGTTGTAGACAGTCTTGCATAATAAATGACCAGATCGACTGCCTGTTTCTTGAAACGTACCTACTCAGGGGATATTGTAAATATCGTGTTTTGAGATTCAATCACACACTTGACATTCAGTATAGCAGGAATAACTCAGAAAGGTCTAGACGAAGTGAGGTCGCGATTTAAATATTGTTTTCCGAACGTATGTCAGTCGCACATTGTTGCGAATGTTTTTCACAAAGCAGCCTTGAGGATTGGATCCATGTTAATGTGATGCTGTGGAAAATCGAGTGCATGTAAGTGTTTATACAAAAGGCCGCGGTGACCATAAAAGAAAGCGCTAGTGAATCAAACTGGAAAGATTTCTAAAGGGTGCTCCGGTATTTTTGAGTCCCACGCTTATAGCTTGTGATACATGTTTGCAAACATGAAACTGGGAGTACCAGTTTAAGAAAGTACTTGAATGCCTCTTCTCGATAACAATATGACAAATAACAGTCGCCGAGATCCTGTGAGAAGTGCACAACCACTCAAAATTCTTTCACTGTCGTTTATTGCAGTGTTTTTCAACCTTTTTCATGACACGACTCCCCTAGTACCTATAAAAAAATATTTTGCGTCCCCCCGATTGTTCGCTTATTTTCATGCATTTTATAATGTTACAAAGATGTTGTACCGAATACTTCAATCCATACAACACATAATTAGATTTCGGATAAATCTGTCTTTATTACTTTATTGATTTTTTTACTGAGGTAGTTGTTACGACCTCGCGCGACCTTTCTATAGAGGCCCACCCGGGGGTCGCGACCCACAGGTTGAAAAACACTGCTTTATTCTAATCATACCGGCCATCATATTTCTGTATATTCACGCCAGTCAAGTTATCTCTATAAACTCTTACCATGGGAGCAAATATCGCGTAGTAAATGCTTTCAATTATAAAACTACCTGGACTCAAAGAGCAGGTATATTTTTATAAATTGGCTCTATTAATAATAGAGTAGTGGGCTTGAGCCTTGAAGTGTGCGTAAACTGCACACAGTAAAGCAAACTCTAACATAAGTAGATGGTTGCATGTGTGCGTGTGCCCCGGCCCCGCCCCGGGGCGTGGTCTGCCCCCCTCGCGGATTATTTGTTAATACCTTTTGTTTTTTGTTCGATACTCATTTAAAATGGCGGTACTGGCAGCCATATTTGTATGTTGGTACTTTCAACTAAATGAAATATTAAAGCGTGTAAACGTATTCTTGGACATAAATTAAAACGGCAGGGTTTTAATCCCACGATGGAGATATCGCAGTTCAAAATAAAGAAGGCACGTAAATATTTTGTACACTGGATATCTCCAGAGCACGCTTCTTTGATGCTGATTTAGTGGCATTTATATTTTTGTTTTTAGGAATGAATTGTGTTTTATGTTTTATTTTTAATTAGTTAATTTTTATGAATAAATAGCAAATTACTTTATGTACTAACACGTATTATAATAATATCGTCTAAGACTACCGTTTCAAGATATGTGTTAAATTACAGTAAGTACATGTATACCTACCGAATGGGCATTCATTTTCTAAGGACTTACAATTCCTACGGCGCCGGCTCTCTCCTGTAGTTACCTGATTGTGTAGTTTCCATGACTGCGCCGTATCGACCACACCCCGCTACTGTGGCCCTCACGTTCATCCCTCGCGACTAGTGTAAGTAGCATCAGCAAAAATTATGAAGTGAAAATGTGATATCGTGATACCAGATATCATAATTCTCTAGAAACTATAGTCTGGCCAAATTGTGTAACAAATAGCGGATCTTTATTTGAAGATTGTATTCAGTCCTGTAAAAGAAGGATATTATTATTATCAGACAACGCTGATATACCATTTATTTTTTGTTTAAACATTATCCTAACCAATATGCAGCAATGGTTGTGTAGGCCAGCCAAGAACCCACATTTTTTAAAACCGAAGTAGCCTATAATTATGTTTGATGGATGAGTATAGAAACTTGTTTTCTTCTTTCTTTGAAGTAGTTAGCTGGGATTGAAAGGGGTGTATTTTTAGATAAGGCAATTGGTGTGTATCGGTCCTAAAGCATAATAAAGTCTACCAGGTCGGCTGAGATTCGAGAATTACTAGAAATTTCAGAAATAATCTACGAGTATAATGACAGCCCACGAATGGCATTGTATTTATAAATCTAATAATAAATCTGTAATACATAATACACTGACTAACTAAAGATTCAATAATTAAGCGAAATAAGCATAATCACTCACTTTTGTTGACAAAAGAGTACAACACAATATAATAGATAAAATATGCAGCAATTTATTGCCATCTTATACTACTTTAATCTACACAATATTATACTAATCAATTATAAATAATAAGTAAGAAAGTGTGTAGCTTATAAATCGCGGCCTTTACTTCTGGCATTTGATATATGAAACAGAATATTTGCTACCTAATATAAGAGCTTATTTCGCCATCACGAGTCCGAGGCGACGACCTAGTTTAAGACTTCCCATATCACAAATAGTGCAGAACGCTGAGATCACCGCAAACCAATCGGTGGTCAAGTTTATCTGTTTAGAAACGAGCAACTAACGAACAAAGTAAAGTAACCATATTAATCGTTGTCTCTATGTAATCGCTTTCATTTAGTAGTTTCTTTAAAAATAACACAATTAATATACTATTTTAGAGCAAGATTAAACGCGGAATATTCGATGTCACTTACCACCTTTGAAGTCTTTTGAAGGGAATTTCTAAGGCAGTGAGCGTTTTTCAGGTGTTTTGTCTTTGATGAATTGACATGGATCAAATTAGGTACTTTGATGTAACATAGCCTCAATCACAAATTATTCTCAATTACAAACATTTTATAAATGTAGGTCTGATACGGCTATCTACAATCAAATTGTAGTCCTCTCATATCATTCTATACGTTGTTTTATATTCGTTTACAGCTGCAGAAAATCCTTTTGAAAGCGATTAGATTATGGTATTATTCATAATAAATATAATAACTTTGAACAACGGCGGCGGCGGCGCTAAGTTAATGACATAGTTAGTTAGTAACCAATCAATATACTGACAGTAGTAATAATATTAACGTATGTATGTACTGACTTTAGTTTTCAATTTTATTATCTGATCTCAGGTAGGATATCGATTGTGAGAACCAAATACTTGATGTAATTTTACAAGTTAGCCTAAAACTCTGAGAACAAAACTGCGCCGGGTCATGTGCCCAGTCGCGCTGTACCCACTATCTCTGTAAGTCGATGTATTTTTGTTACGAAGGTGAAAACGTACTAACCTGCGCTTAATACCTATCCTACTTTCCAATTTCAATCATCCTGGATAATATGCGTAGAATTTGTTGGTAGGACTATTTTTTAAGGAAAAAAATACGTACACTTTTTTTTTACTTTTAGATTGTCTGTATATCAAAATTGTTTGTTTCCACAAAACTAAATAAAATAATAAAATAAACGTAAATCGCCGCAGAGATCAATTAATTTTGTAACGATATGTTGCTAATGTATTTAGATATTATGTGCACCAATCTAATGCAATAACAAACATATCCTGTCTGGTACAATAGGTATTAATAACGTTCATAATTTAACTGTACTATGTTTTGATGTTACTCATCTGTAGTTTGTGATATTATGTCTTTTGTATTGTAATATTGGATGACAATATTTATTTGTTAATTTAGTTTTGTTTTATATCTTCCTACCATTCGTTTGTGGCGTAGTAACATACAGGGAGCCTCGAGCGTGGTCGCCGGCGCGGACCGCGACTGTTAGCCTTGCTGTTATACGAGTGGATTTAAATATATCACGGATTAATATTTTTGTACATTTGGCTAATATTTTTGTATGCTTGGCTGTAGTCAGAGCCCCCTGCAGTATATCACTAGTCCGTGCCAGCGGCTATGTCACGCGACAAACCTTCCTCCTAGATAATGTTAAACTATATGATTATTAATATGTTCCTAGAAAACTAATGTTTACTGTATAACCTGATGTACATGTATTTAACAAAAATAATAAATGATTTCTTCGTAATCGAGTGTTTCATTTCTTTAATTATCTAATATGCCAATGAACCAAAACGAAGTCGGTTAGTTTTATGTTCATTTCTATGAATTTAATTAATAAAGAGTGTATTATAATAAAATAGGAGTATAAGGGGCAAATCAAAGAGTATGTGTAAAAAACAAATTAAATAAAACTCTCCTTAAATGTCTGCAAATCTTATTTATTTATTCAATAAATTATTCTAAACTCAAAACATCTAGAAATAAAACATTTTAAATATAAATAAATTATACAGCGTAAACATAAACCATTACATGCTTCCTATAAGTGTAACTTCATTTTATTTATACATTAAGATAGTAAAACATGTATACAACGACGATATCCAATAAAATGTACGTACTTACACTCAAAGGAGTGGTCACATTGTACAGGATAGGAGACTAACCGGCTAGTTGTAAGTAGTTAACATCCAATTAGAACCTAGAGCTGTCAAGCCGCGGATCGACATCGAGAAACCTACAGACTGACTTCCTACCTATACCTCGCCTCTGCTCCAGAAGGACCGACCGAAACACTCGACAGCGAGTAAAACACAAAACGAACAGAATAGATCTGACCGATTTTTGTCAAATTTAGGTTTCAGAAGTAAAAAACTTTGACTTTCGGTCGGTCTGTGGTGTGTTATGCAGGCATACTATTGCCTTTACTATTGAAATAGACAAGCGCTGCCCAGAACAAAAGTACAATTTACAAAAAGTCACAGCAGAGCAGGTACACCTAGTGTAATATTTACAAACACTTAATATCGATAAATATCAGTCCGTTTATATAAAATACAGTGACAGGTATACTGTAGAACATCAAGAACAATATAAACATTTGTAAACTATGGTGGTCGTCAGCAACGCCCGAGCGATTGCAAATAATTTATCATACACATTGATGTATTGCTACAAACGATATGATCGTAAAGTGAAGGCAAATAAGAATTACAATTTCATGACACTTATGACTATGATTGTGTTAATAATACCAATAAACAAATACATTTATATGGATTAGAGCCTCAATACACAGTAGACCTTTAAATCTCATAAATATAAACATCCAATATTAAAAACAATAGTAATAACACAAGTAGTGGCGTGAACCGTAACCTCTCTCTAAAATTTAACTTCAACAACTAATTCAACTTACTTGCATGACAGGATATTAAAATCATAATAAAAATACATAGTGTGTATAATAATAGGAATCATTAAAATCGTGAAACTATAATTATTAGAACGATGTATAAGAAGGCAACAATTAATAAAAGGTCATGATTCAAAAGAATACGCAATATTTATATCGAACTCTGACAATGCTTGCACATCATGACGGCGAAGATGCCGCCGAACGAACCTTATCCCCGCCCGACCCTCCGAGCCTACAATACCACGTTTTGTGTTATTACCACATTATTTACAATATATACACGTCACATCTAGATTTACGAAAACTTTACAACACTACTTTCATGAAAGACACGCGGTAGATGACAGATTCTTATATTAAACCTCACTTATAAGATTACATTGCACTTTACCAATTATTATGACTTTCAAGTTTACACTATGCCTTCCTAGTATATACGACTTCTACTAGTACTAACCCATTACAGTATTCGGTGCGCGTAGGCAACGCGACTTGGCTACCAAACTACAGCTCCTGACGCTAGCTAACCATGATTACGTACTACAGCACACTACTGAAGATGACTTCGCAACGGATGTTCGATTGTATCAGAAGGTGGGACACTGAACACAGGTCGATGCTGAACTATGATGCTGTCCGCGGCATTGTTATCTACTTTGAACATAGAGATTTATTTAACACAAAACATTTTTGGTTCGCGAATGTGTCAACACCTATACACTATCATCTGGTCTACACTTATCGACGCTACACTATTTATTAAACGCTGCCTTCCGAGGTAGAAATGACGGAAGCTTCGAAAACTTATATTCAATGTTTCTGTAATTGCTATTGGCTCTAATTCGCATGAAATTATTATATTTGACAAGCAGCAGACTAAGATCATGTCCAAGAATTAAAATTATTCGTACACATACTTTTAATAAAATTGTATAATATAGTGTTATGTAGTTAAAAGAAAAGTAATTATAAAAATAAAATTCACTAAAACCTATTAAAAATGAGATAAAACATATAAATCTTTAGTACAATATTGATACATATTTACTAAAATATGGTAATCTTTCATTTTATGATAAAATTCTCAATACAATGCAATCCTAATTTTCGATTGAAATAATTCCGATCTCTTGTGATTCTGAGTTACGTATCAGCTACAAACTTTGTTCAAATTCCATTAAAAAATATAATAAAATCTACAGTGTGTAAAAAATAAAGTGATGGGGGTAAAATATTATGCATTTACACATACAAGATATACATTCAGTTTTATAATAGCAATATTTATTATAATAACATTTCCTCGCATTCCAAATGCTAAAATCCTAATAATCTATTATTCTAGTGGCGCGTGGAGTCCTCGCGAGCTCACTCGCTGCATCGGCTATTATACGCTATAATACTATAGCTCACTTAAGTAGGATAGTTCGTGCTACACAGGAAATATTTCACGATACTAGGTCCTGATGTAGTCGGATAGTAAATTGATCTAAAATAAATAGTAGCAAGTTCGCCTACACTATAAAATAGCTGATAAATAACAAAGCACTTTGTACAATATTATTAGTTACTAGCTGCATATCAGGGTAGTCATGCTTGCGTGAGACGTCGGGCGAACGTTGCATTTTATAATAATCCTAATTAAAACGCGATGGACGCGATAAATAATCTCGATAGAACATGTACACATTATATTAAATACAATAACATCAATAAACACGACTGCTCTTAGATGTAGCGTTCCTCAAGCGAGTGACTTGTATTTACAAGACCGTCATGAGTCGATCGTCTTATTCTAAATATCGTCGGCGACGCATCGCAGGGATCGTACAGATGACACACCAAGTAACATATACAGGGTGTTAGGTAAATGGGTATATGAGCCGACACTAGCCCATGTTAACATGGGCATATAAATTGTATGGTGAAGTCAGGAAATTGATATCTTCATTTTAATTATTTTAATTTTCATACAAATCTGATTTTATAAAATTTATTTTGTATGATAATATAAAAAAAATAAAATGATGCTATCAAATTTCTGACTTCACCATACCATTTATATGCCCATGTTAACATGGGCTGGTGTCGGCTCATATACCCATTTACCTAACACCCTGTAGACTACGTTATTCAGTAATACGTTCAGTAATTCATAAACTGTTAACCACATGAGTTCCGATGTATTCGCACTGACGCCACTGTGCTGTCGCGGGAAGGATAGTGGGGTGTGGAGGGGGTGAGGTGGTGTGAGCTGGTGCGGGGTGGGGCGAGGTTCAGAAGTAGCAGGAGACGAGTTCAGCGGGGGTGAGGGTAGGGGCGGGGGTGGCGCGCGCGCGCGGCGGCCGCTAGTTGAACAGGACCGAGTTGGGGTCCTCGTTGTCCATCTGCTTGACGTGGCGTAGTACGTCCTTCTTCGTGATGACCCCAAGCAGGCGTCTGCAAACAACACGCTTGTGAGCTACTGTCCCTAAAGTAAGCCTATCGCGAAATAAATCTTGACTGCGGCTATTGGTTTATGAAGTTATTTGACTGGTAATTAAGACTAAGGCCCAGAACAGACGGTGAAAAGCAACTGCAACGAAACTGCAACTTTCTGATGATTCTGATGAATGGAACTGAAACTGAAAGTTTCGAACTGGTCGCGTCATGTGTAGTCTCTCAACGAACGCTATGGCAGAAACTTAGATGCAACTGAAAAGTAACTAGCAGTTGCAGTTTCGTTGCAGTTGCGTTTCACTGTCTGTGTCCTAAGTTGAAATTAATTCAAAGTCAAACCAGTATCGAGTAGAGATGACCATCACTTGCTGACAAAACATGTTGGGACTGGGCCAAAGTCCGCTGGTTCGATAAATAATATCACAAAATCGAAGAGTTTAAATGGCCAACAACGTCTTCAAAGTAAGGGGAAAATCAACTAGTGACTGGTTAACTGGTACACGCTCAGGGTTCCAATCAGAAGGCGGTGCGAATGACGCCCAGCCAAACGACGATTATGCAACAAATTTTATTGACGGGCCAGTGCACTTGTCACATTGAACTCACCCATTGTGCGTGACGAGCGTCTGGCGCAGGCCCAGCTTGCGGAACATGTCGACGACGGTCTCCATGGGCGTCTGGTCGGTGACGGTGATGGGCGCCATGTCGAGGATGCGGTGTAGGGCCAGCGGCGGCGGCGGGCCGGCCGGCGCGGGCCCGCTGCCAGCGAACACCACTGCGCTCTGCCCACTGATGCCCTCGATAGTACGCCGGGCGTTCGCTAGCGGGAATAAATAAATAAAATAAATATCCTTGGACATTTTACACTGCGCTTCTAGTCCCAAACTAAGCAAAGCTTGTACTATGGGTACCAGACAACGGATATAAACATACTTAAATACTTTTTTTTTTTAAATACATACTTATTATACATAGAAAACATCCAGTCCAATACAAACAAATATGTTCATGCACACAAATGTTTGTACTGTGCGGGAATCGAACCCGCTACCTTCGGAAATCAGAAATGAGGAGATCCGTAAACAAACTAAAGTCGCTGACATAGCCCGACGGATTATCAAGCCCAAGTGGCAATGGGCAGGGCACATAGTACGCAGAACTGACGGCCGATGGGGCAGCAAGGTTCTGGAGGCCGCGTACCGATAAACGCAGCGTGGGACGTCCACCCATAAGGTGGACCAACGACCTGATAAAGGTAGCAGGAACTACCAACCTAACCTAACCTACCAACCGTGCGATGGGGATGCATTGGGGGAGGCCTATGTTCAGCAGTGGACGTCCTATGGCTGAAATGAAGAACCTAAAACTACCACGCTCTGACCACTGATATCCTTGATCAGTAAGATAGTTTGTGCTACGTAGGCATACAGGTCTTAATCCGGCACTGGCGCGGGCTCACGGCACATAGCACCCACGCAAGCTTACAGCTAAACTATAAACATTTTTTATGCATAACAAGGTAGTAATTTGACTACAATCGCACCTGATATTAAGTGGGATGTAGTCTAGGATGGTGCATATCTGCCCTGTAAGTGCCTATTCACTCTCGCCTTGAAAATTCCCGGATTGTAGTCTTCGAGAAAGACAGCAGCAGGCAACGAATTCCAGTCCCTAGCTGTTCGCATTATAAGAGTCATCGAAACGCTTAGTGCGAGCTGGTGGAATGTCAACTATATAGGGATGGTACGCTAACCTGCGTCTGGCTCCCCGATGATGGAAGACATACAAGACATGTGGCTAAACTGAAATTACATACAAGTATGTTCGGAAAATGGGCTTGAAAGACACTTCATGACTCACCTATGGCCAAATTGAGGTCGCGGCGCAGCACGAAGCCCACCAGGTACTGAGACTCTTTGGACACCACCACGGGGTACCCGTTGTGCTCCGTCTCCTTGAGCAGCGTCTCTACGTCGTCCACTGTCATCGAGTCTTGCGTGATTACCGCCAGGGTGTCGTTGCGTCTGAACGGAAACGGACCTTGTTAGTTGAGGAATAGGGGCAGGATTATAATAAATAAAATAAATCATTTATTTCTCCTCACAAACTTAGGTTAAATTACATTTGGTAAAAAATACATTACGCTATAGGTACTTAATACTAAGTTTGTGTGGGACTGGTGCCTGAAATAGGTTTTGTTTAAAACCTGTTCTACAGGTCACCAGGCTCCCACCCGTGGAATATTATATGGTAGTATAGCGGTAAGACCCTTAAGTGCGATAGTTTGCGAAAACAATTGTTTTTTTTTTTTTTTTTGTAATGATTATTAGTAATTTGTTATTACACAAATTACTCATTTGTTATTACATAGATCACGAGTCGGCCAGTCCGACCCCTTCACCGTTCGGCTATCGTGGCTACAAATTGATGTTTGCCTGTTACTTTACACATCTATTCGAAAAGCCATAGGACGAATTTGTTGTTACTTGACAGTATTTGGCAGTTACGGATATAGACTAAGAGCTAGTGAACGCCAGACCTACGTCATTTTATAAAAGCTGAAAGTTTGTCAGCGTTTGCTAACATACGCTGACATACTTTCAGCTTTTATAAAATGACGTAGGTCTGGCGTTCACCCGCTCTTAAGTCTAATATGGATGTCGTTTTGTCTGAACAAGTGGAATTGGACCTTGTTAGGAGCAGAAATAGTGCCAGAATTGCCTCTAACCTAATTGGCAGTCCTGGATAATATCCTTACAAAGACTATGAGATCGTGCTGGATCTAAAAACTGCAGAAGCTTCAATCGTGTATGTTCAATCCTAACCAGATAGCACGTCAGAGTGAGAAAATAAATCAGAGATAAACAACGCAAAACTTTTTGCCTGAATTTTTGGTAATCGAACTTCGTGCAACATTGCTTGGCATCGCACTATGTTAAATGTATTTGCACACTTACACACAACAAAAACAGCTAAAATAAAAAAAAATAAGAAATCATAAAAAACAATTCTCAACTAAACAAAAAAAAATAAAAACAACAATAGGAGTGTCTTTTCAAAAGGGGATACCTACATTCTATCTTATTTTTCACAAAATGGGAAAAACTTATATGGGAAATATTTACAGACCTACCGAAAAGCATTATTTCTGTTATGAAACTATTTCATTACAGTGTTCTAACTACACTTTTTGCCAAAAAATATGACTTATTAATTTAAAGTTACAGAGTTCAGAAAAATCATAATATCCTCTTTTGACACGGATCTTTTATAATATCCCCCTTTGTTCTGTACTTACTGTAAATATCCCCTTTAGTTGTGTACTATTTTGTAAATATCCTCTTTTGTATTGTGCATCTCAAGATTTTAAATGATAATAAAACACAGATTATTCTTTTTTTTTAATAATAATAATGACCAAAATTAAAGACGCTACTAAACAGAATTATATTTTTTTAATTATTAGACATTCAAATCCTGATTTGTCCAATATCAGGTGTCAGACAATCACACAACATAGATTCCATTTCGGTATTCTGTTGGTCTTCAGGGCTGCAGTTTGGATCATCAATTAATAATTTTTTATACCACTTCAGTTCATCTAAACTGTACCACACTCTTCGCCAAACTGTTTCTTGAGCAAATAGACGTCAAAATAGGTACCTTGAACTTGCCAGAGTAAAAAAATACCGAAGCGTTCAAAACATACAAATTTTGCGTTCCGTTCTACAGAGTAAAATGTCTAAAAATAAATCCTAAAGCATAAAGTTAAAGGAAATAAAACACTATGTAAAAGTAAATATCCCATTTTGAAACGGCTAATTGGTATAGTGTAAATATTTGTATTGTAAATATCCTCTCTTGTTATGAAATGAAAAATAACTATTATTTTTTTAATTTTGTAAGTGTAAATATCCTGTTTTGAAATGAACACTCATATTTGAAGCTGCTTTACTTGGGAGAATATCCCGTTTTGATTAAGATTTAAGTGACGAAAGTTAGTATTCAGCACTAAGAACAAGACTGCATACTCAGTTGAATAAATAATAAAAATGTAAATATCCCCTTTTGAATAGACACTCCTCAATTATTGCCAATAAGCAAATAGCTTGCCTAACTAAAACGTGTAATAAAACAAAAGAAAAAAGTTCGCACTAATTAATTAATTTGCAAAAATAAAGTAAACTCGAAACAAATCAAATAAACAACCCTTCGTAATGCAATATTATGGTGGGAATCGAACCCAACCACACGTCATACATTACGGTGCGGGCAAATCGCGTGAGCACGTAATAATTACTTCAATAGCTGAATTATTGTAACTACCGCCCAACCAATGCTCTTCGCTACGCATAATTAATTAATTGATTAATTTAAGGCGCTCGAATGCAGCAAGCCGTGTTTAAAGTGCAATATCAGTAAAAGGCACTGTTTAAAATATTAAACAACACAAACAAACCTTGTAGTTCAAAATAGGGCTCAACAATGGAAAATCAATAATCTTGACATGTTAATAGCAGCTAGTTACATGAAATTACTTCATCAACTGCACAAAGTGGGTAACAGGCCAGCGCTGCATCAAATATGTAGGCTGTATCGATTTACCCGTGCATACATTCTGTGACCTAATTGCATATAAGACATCGAAGTCTCATTAAACGACTTTCATGTTTACATTTCAAGAAACAGAGGTTCCTTCGTTTCAGCTAAATGACGTGCAGAACTGAACAATGGCCTCCCCCAAAGATGTGTTTCTCCTAATAAGCTATCCACTCATTAAAACAAAATTAAAGTAACAGAAAATGTAATTGTAACAAAAAAGAAAACAATGCAAGCAGGATAATGAAGAACGAATGCGGCCCCTTGCAGTGCCACCCCTTGCTACCGCTTTCGCTGATTAGACCGTGTCAAGGATCATCCGCCATATGCCGTGGTGTTTGCAAATTTTATAAAAAACAACATCAATTGGCGATGCAAAGATTAGCAACAATTAGTTCTGCGTCAGCTTAAAAGCGGCGCAATAACACGGATAATTATTATCGCACTGCATTGAGCTTAGCACTCGCAAAAAAAAACAAAAGGTAATCGCACAGCAAAAATAAAATGCAAAAAGAAACACAAAAAACTCGCAAGGAAATACAGATACAAACAGCAAATAAAATAGCAATGATAAAGAACAAAAAATCTCATAAAAGTGTTAACTCTGACGTACTATCTGACATAGGATTAGGTGTGACTACTCAATATCTTCTTGTGCTCTTATCAACACAAATAAGAGCATATAAGAGTAGCTCTCTTGTAAAAGAGACAACAAAAATGAGTTAATAAAATCATAACAATTATTGTCGCCTCTGGTTCTGGTTAGCCAGTCAAACTGTCGTAAATTACGACGTAATTACATAGTAAAGGGCAATCTGGAAGAACTTCCAAGACCTGTAAATTTCTCCCACCGCGGACGACGAACGTAACGAGTGAAGGTAGAAACTATTTATAAGAGTTGGTGGAAATTTGTTCCCTAGTTTTGTCGCTGAACTATCTCTCGGCGAGTGATCTATCCGCGAGCGTGCATCACCCGGCTATTACATTCGTCAGTTTTTATCACTGCTACAAATTAGAGGAAAAATGTTCTCGCCGGCAATGTGAAGTTACCGATAAACTGTTAATAAATGCATCTCATTTCTTGACTGCTACATCTCCATCGGTTATACATCACTCGGGCAAGAAAATACTACAGTGTTCGTCTGCGGTGGGGCAAATGACGTAGGCTAAAAATAAAACTATAATCTGATCCGGGAGCACGTAAAATGTTGTCCAATGACCCCAAGCTACCCATCCTTATCGCTCGCGCGTAATTACATTGCTGTCGCGACTGTGCGACGGGCGCCCGCAGTGAGTGTGCGAGCGCGACAGCAACATAATTACGCGCGAGCTATAAGGATGGGTAGCTTGGGGTCATTGGACGGGATTCTACGTGCTCACGGACCAGGCTTTAGTTAGTTAATAGGAGGTTGTACTCACTTGGGTTGCATTACGTCCGCCGCGAGGGACGTATGCTGAAACTCATCTTTGCTGTCCAGGAAGGGATATCCATTGAGAGCAATGTGGGCATCGTATATGCCCTGGCGGCCCAGCGCGTCGCCCACCCACTTGGACGCCATCGCGGCCGCCATCAGCGGGACTATGTACCGCACTCCGCCCGTCAGCTCGAACATTATCACCACTAGGGACACTGCGGGAGATACCATACTATGTCAAACGGTTCGACAGAAAAGCATTGTACTACAGGTCTTTACATGTCCGATGAAATTTAAACCCAATTACTGCTTCAGACCCAGAGATCCCAGATTTGATTCCACATGGGGGCAAAAGTTTCTGCTCGGTTTGGTTGGTGGTAGGACTTTGTTTACATTACATTAGTCTGGGACGGACGGATCGGGCTGAAATTCAGCATGCAGGTAGACGTTATGACGTAGGCATCCGCTCAGAAAGGATTTTACTAAAATCCAGCCCTAAAGGATTAAAAACGGGATCCACGCGTACGAAGTACGAAGCCGCTAGTTGAATAATATTTACGTAATATGTACGTACCCTAATTGTACCTAATGTGTTCCTTTTCTTTCTGTTCTTTTTATGTGGTGTGCAATAAAGAGTATTTATTATTATATTATTATTACCTGTCATGCGAGTCACGCCGCCGAGCACGGCCGCGGCTCCAACCATGGCATACAGGCCGGGCGTTATGCAGTCGTCTCCCGTTGAGCATTCCCCAGAAAAGATCCAAATCTTCGAGTGGTGGAACGCTAGCTGTTCCACGCCTGTTACAAACAATCATATTACAGGTTAAAATTAAATGGTAGCAGAACAATAAAGCTATGTCAGGACGAAGAACGAAGGCTAATATAATGTTTAAAAAATCTTGGGCAGGACTAGAGGTCAGATCCACACATCATGACTGTGGCAAGTGCCGCAGAACCCTCAGTGGCACCGAATTTAAGACGAAACTGGAACCTGGACCCACCAGTCACCACCGGTCACCAACTGTGGGTTATTGTTGCTGCTATTGACTGAAAGATGGTTATTGATAATTCTATATCAATAACCATCAATCGTCATCATCAATATCTTCTCAGCACTTGCCATATGTTTGTCTCGAAGCGCTGGTAGGGCCCAAAAGATAAGGAGACAAGTAAAGTGCCCCATAAGGGCTGCTACCTTTTTTATATTTGACGTTCATAAGTGCCACTTGTGGTCTAAACTGAATAAATATTTTTGATTTTGATTTAATAGATTTTTCCAGCGATGCACAAGTTGAGGCGGCACCAGAAACCGGACGGTGGCTGTGATTCACTGCTGTAAGCTGTACAGGTACTGATACTGACCTATTCCCACTATCCTGCCCGCTATGGCCCCGAGGGCCAGGCTCGGGATGAACAGGCCGCACGGTACTTTGATGCCGAAGGTGAACACTGTCATCACGAGTTTGAGCACCAGCGCCAGAAACAGCAGTCCTATCGCGTTGTACACCCCGGGCTTGGCTGGAGCCCGAGTTATTGCTGAACTCACGTCCGTGAAGTTCCGATCGTAGTCACTGCACAAAACATTGACAGTCAGATACACGTGACCATCATAAAAAAAAGGCAGTCAAGGTTAAGGTCCGGTTACTACCAAAAGCGGAGAGCTCTCATCTCTAGCACAGTAGATAAATCAAACAGTACGGAAGCTTCATACAAACGCTCGAAATCACACTCACGCACACAGACGCACGCTTTACACAGCTCTAAGCGAACCTCGCAGTCCATCCGTCGCGGGTGTCGCGCGCGTTGTGTTTTTAATTTAATAATAACTTTATTGCATTCGCTGTCCGCTGTATTTTTAAAAATATGCCACGAGTATATTGCGTTTTTAAACTTCGTAATAATGAAAGGTGAAAATAATTTAATGTTACTTTTTAAATAAAATGCTTAATTAATTACGTAATTACGCTTCTTAACAATTTATCTGTTCTATTTGATAAGTAATTTGATTTAATTTTGATTTTCTTGTTTATATGTAACTTCTTATACCTAACTAACAAAAAATAACGACATCGTATTATGTTGAATTGTTGAACTTTTTTTTTTGTAAACTAAGTACTGTTAATGGTGAAAAATCTAAAACGTTAAAAAACGGTATCGTTTAGCCAATGAGCTGATGTTGTAGTCACTCTAAAACGTCAGATTTAAAGAGACGCCCGGACGCGCGCGGACGACTCCGCGCGACAACCCTAACACTCAATTGAAGTGTAGGTATTTAACTCGACGAAAGGGCCTAGTTTCCGTACTGCTTTAGCTCATATATATACTGTGTTTCTAGTTTCCTCTCTTCTTCGTTTGATAGAAACCGGGCCTTAAGCTAAAAGATTCTTGACTCACCATAGAGGATCCGAATTGGATATCCCGCACTGGTTGAAAAGCAGATAGATCAGCTGGCTGGTGTTCATGCGCGTATACGGGTTGGGATAGGCCACCACCGCTGTGACCAGGGTCACCACCAGGACCTCCGTGACCGGGTACTGACCAAGCTTCGAGTACTTGCGGTACCGACACCACCATATGTTCGCTTTTATAAATATGGTGGCTATACACCCCTGGTTGGGAAAATACACAATTCATAAGTCAATACACCGTCCGAAAACAGAAAAGATTTTCTATAGTCTGTTCGCCGAGAGTTGATAAAAAAAAAAAATATCAGAGGTTCAAAACTCATTATAAATTGCGGCCCGCTAATTATTTTTGTCGATATAATGAAAAAGTTAGTAGATTACACTGGTCAACAGTGGTTTTGGTGCCAAGGAACTGTATATATTTTTTGATTAAGGACCTTATACTGGTTGCTTTAGTAGCAAATTTGTTGATTTCCTACGTGTGGTTTTCTAGATTTTGACGTGTATAGAAAAATACAAAATTTCACCAAAATCAGCGTTTATAATATTTTGAAGTGCTTAAAAACTTTCTTTTCCACGACTTTTGTGAATGAGGTGTAATGGAACTATCACGTTACATCCTCCAGCAGTAATCAGCCATCATATAGCTATCCCATCTGCCTTGGCACCTCTCTTCCAATGGTTTTTAGGTCTTGATAGCATCGCTCTCCCTGTTCTTAGCTATAGCATGCTATAGTGACCCAAGATTCTCTGGGAATTGGTCAAGATGACTGTGGAGGTAGTGCCCTTTGATGAAAATTATTACATCCTGAGTTTTTAGGGCATGTCTCACAATTTCATAGTAGTTATTAGTCCTGTGATATCCGAAAAAAATTTTAGTAACTTCAACGAAATAAGTCCACGTAAATCGTTCCAAACGTCCATCAAACTTAAGAAATCAGTATCTTTTATTAATATTCTTATTTGTGGGCCATCAAAAATTTTCTGCTTTAACCTTTTTTTATGCTCAAACCAGGTTTTTTTTTGTTTTTTCCTCACTTTTTCCACTCTGAACTTCATGTTATGGCTTCTTTGACCATTGAAACATTGCCTCAGTGTTCACAGCAGATTATACAAACAATTTCGGGTATCCACGGCTTGAATACAACCACAATTTCCGACTTAAAGTAAGAAAAATAAGCACTTTTTATTAAAATTTTGCCAAAATTTTTGAAATTCTTAACTGTGTACACATCACAAATGTAATAAATTACATTTGGATCGTTGAGGCAACTTCTTGGCAATGCAGACATGATATTAAAATAAATTTCGTTATAAAAATATACCGATAACATTACAAACTGTGCAACCAAAGTACCGATTAAAGCTAAAATTTAAAACTGAGGGTAGATCAAAAACTACACGTAGGGAAAAAAAAAAAAAATTATTTTTATTATTACTAATACACACCTAATAATAAACTATCAACAGAATCTCGGCACCATTTTAATTTTGATTTTTTGTTGACCAGTGTTATCATTATTATCTCTTTTTTTACGGGAATTATTCCGGTTAGGGCATTCGTGGGGATACGGATCAAACACGTGGCGTCCATGTGTTGGATAAAAAGTATTTCATTATTATCAAGTGGCTTATAGTGTATCCCAATGTTGGGCAAAGCCCTACCCACTGTCATACCATTCATTTCGGTCTTATGTAAAATAAATCTATTCCGTTTCACACATTGCGGCCCGCCGGCCGGGGCGCTTGACGACAGCTGCGTGGCTCGTACCATGTAGGGATTGCAATCCGGTCCGGCGGATCCGGTAATCCGGCGGATCCGGCGTGTTTTTGGACCTACCGGATCCGGTGAGTCGGCGCCGGATCCGGAGGCGGATCCGGTAAAGCAAAAAATACGCGAACGTGAACTGGGAAAGTCGAGCGCGCGCGCATTTGCCAGATCGCTAGACGTGCCGCGACACTACATTGTATTTTCCTTTGCAAAAAATAAATGCTTCTAGTTTTTTTGTTTCTTAGGAGTCATATTGTTTCTTAAAAAGAACTGAAGTTGAATTTATAAGTACAAATTTAAAATACTGTTTTGTTGATTTAAGTATGTGTACCTAGATTATTAATAAGAGTTTAATAGTATTATTACTTAAGTACTTTCAGATACTTACATACAGCAATAAGTGAGAGTCAGACTGATTACTAACTTTATTATTTAGAATTTTCATAATTTTATTAGTACAAATTAGTACTTACCAAAAATTACAATTAATACCGAAAAATATCAATAAAAGTGACTTTATTTTCCATAAATACGTATTTTCTTGTTCTTTTTATGTACTATTATCAAAACTAAAAATCACTAAATACTAGACCAAGTTACTTCGCAATCCGGCCGGATCCGTCCGGATCCGGCCGGATTAGCGTCAATCCGGTGAAATCCGGCCGGATTGAAAATGATACCGGATTGCAATCCCTAGTACCATGGTACTCAGTGCGCGTTGTGACAAACGACGCCCGCCATACAGAATGCGATAATTAAGCGACAGTCGCTATTGCAAGACATTTCATAATATTTATCAACTCTCGGCGAACAGACTTTAAATAGCTAAGATTGTAAAGCACTTACCCCTATTATCCCCAATCCCACAAACGGAATAAGTTCGAAGAATATCCACGGTTTGTTGTACTCCACGAAGAACAGGACGGAGTGTTCGTTGCCAAACGGGTTGATTGACCGCAGAATGAACGCGGCTATCAGAGCGCAGAAAAACGAACGCCATAGTGTCTTCAAAGGGAAGTAGTACGATACCTAAAAATACAGGATTCAGTTAAAATCATGAAGCGTCAATAAAATGAAGAACTGTTACTTATGGCACAGAATAATAATAAAAGTACTACGTACAAAAGTTTTACTTCGCGAAGGTATTTAAAAAAATGTATGCTCAATGTCATTAACAATATGGTGTAATTTAGCCTGTCTCAAGAGTCAAGCACCATTTTGTTGACAAACGTCAGTGATCGGCACTGCGCCGAAGCTATAGGGCTGACTTCGGTAAAATGATATGACGTGAGGTGCCAAACTGCGGAAAATGGCGGAGGAAATACATGATTTAGCATGAATAATATTAATTATTAACTACTTATTTACCTCTCAGTGTCTTGAGGCAACTTAAAAAAGTACATTCTGTGTTTTAATTATTATTTAGGCAGTTAAATACTGCACAGTATTTAGTACACCATTTTCTTTATTTTCCTACATCATACACAAGAATACGCGTGCGTGAGTCAATGTTCGCTCGTATGTGAGGCCTTGTCGAATAGTATCCTGTAGGTGGGCCATCGGGCGTGTTTTGTTTTCGATGTAAACTCGCGGAGATGAACAGGCCTGCTTATGGTTTCTCCAATTCCAATGACATGTGCTGAACTGAACTGAATGTGACTTACTTCCTCTAAGCTGAAGAGGACTCCTCCGATGGGCGCTCCGAAGGCGACAGAGACTCCGGCGGCGGCGGCTGCCGACAATATCTCGCGCTTCTTGGCCTCGTTGCGGCCGTATTTCGGAAACAGGTACGACAAGATATTCCCTGGGGAAACACTGCCTGTCAGTACTGCGGCTTTGTTGGCAACTTACACTAAGGCCCAGAACAGACGGTGAAACGCAACTGCAACGTAACTGCAACTATCTGATGATTCTGATGAATGAAACTGAAAATGAAAGTTTCAAACTGGTCGCGTCATGTGTGGTCTCTCAACGGACGCTATGGCAGAAACTTAGATGCAACTGAAAAGTAACTAGCAGTTGCAGTTTCGTTGCAGTTGCGTTTCACCGTCTGTTTTGGGCCTAATGCTGCATCATTGAAAACGGGAGGAAAAACTAACGAACAATTTGAGGAAAATATACATATTTAAGAATACCATAATAACAAATTTGGCAACAGTACAGAGCTCACTTAGGTTTCCTTGGTAGAACTTGATCGACTCGTAGCGATGATGGTAGATGGCACTGTTAGGTGCCAAATTGGGTAAAGCCTGGTCCGTGAGCACGTAGAATGTTGTCCAATGACCCCTAGCTACCCATCCTTATCGCTCGCGCGTAATTATATTGCTATCGCGACTGTGCGACGGGCGCCCGCAGTGAGTGTGCGAGCGCGACAGCAACAGAATTACGGGCCAGCGATAAGGATGGGTAGCTTGGGGTCATTGGACAAAATTCTACGTGCTCACGGACCAGGCTTTAGCATAAAACGAAGTACATTATAAAGAGTTTGTAAAAAGCAGCAAAGCTAGAAAGACTTACCTAGACAGCTAGCAATATGGACCATAGGCCCCTCCTTGCCCAGGGAGAGGCCGGAGGACACGGACAGGATGAGCCCGACGACCTTGATGATCAGCGTCCACTTGCCCAGGTACCCGCGGATGATGAACCCGCTCAGGATGGTCTTGATCTCAGGGATACCTGTGAGAATAACCTTACCTTAAAACCCATTTTACCTTACCTGACAACGCAAAGCAATCTACTTTACCATGTTAATATTAAAATAAAGTTTGTCAATACTATGATATTAGTGCACAGGACTGCATTGAGGAATGCGAACTTTTAACCCTCAATGCAAACTTATGCACTATCAATAAACAATGGAAAATGTACAGTATGAAATGAACATGTAATTGTATTACGTAGGTAGACGGTGGGTGTACACAGCTGTTAAACCACAGGTAATTGTATTGTTACATTTTATGATCAAATGACAACAACGGTTTAGTGTGAACACATTTTAATTACATGGTCCTAACTTACAATCTTATCTTCTTACGGTGGGTGATTCTAAATCTAATCTCTAATCAACCTTAAAACTAAAGGGGAAAGCAACGCAGCGGGTGAGATGTCTCTGCCAGAGCGGCGGGGGTCAAGTCCCGGACACAGCGCGGACACAGCTGGTCCATAAGCCCCCGAGAGCCAGGTAGGGCGTGGAGGCTCCGCCAGACATACGCTCGGAACACCGCGACACCTCTCCGCTCGAATACTGCCCGCCGACGCTACGCAGACATGTGGCAATAACGACCGAGGCCCGGTCTCCGCCAGTGCGGAGGAGAGCGGAGAGGAGAGGATTTAGCCCAACAGTTATTGCCACATCTCCCTGTGCGGAGCTCCCGCGGCCAGCACTCAAGCGGAGCTCGACGATGTCTTACCATTCGAAGCGTATGCCCGGCGCCCACCCCTCGACAAGACCCTCAGGACCCTGTCAACCCCACCCCGCCCTGGCTGGGCACCCCACCCGTAACACCGCTGTTCCCCGAACATCTCCTCTGCAAATTGATGCCATACCAGTTACCACCTCTCCTCTCCGCTCGCCTCCGCTTTGGCGGAAACCGGGCCGAATGGGTGATTCTCCCCATAAAAAAATCGCTGATAACATATTACCTTATTACCAGCGGCAGACCTGACGACAAACCAAAGGAACTCCGCCCTTGGCCAAATGAGGAAATGAAATAGTGATTGCTACGATGCAGTTTAATCAAATACTAAAAGCTATAGCTAATCAACTACTAATACTAACTGTATAGAAAAACACATTCGCTTTGCTTATAACTATAGAACCTAGCATCGTAGGTACTAATATTAAAGTACGAAAATAACAAACCCACAAACAATATAACAATCTATGTTATTTAAATGCCTTCGCTTATGCTTATAACTAAAATAACAAAACAAACCAACTTGAAACAAATAAATCGATAGTTTAATTTTACTATCAGCAACGCCGTTGTTGTAGTAAGTGACAGTACCATTTTAATCTGATTGTGGGGCGACTATCTCGACACCAGAGAAAATTCAACGTTTACACCCTTTCGTATATTGATTAAGACCATATCGATCTTTCATAAATGCGTCGAGACATTCTGGAACATGGACACAATGTAAGAACATGAACGAATATTTCCTGCCAAATTTTAAAGTAATCTAGAGAACCACTGGGACAGTAAAACGCTTTAATTATCACTGCTTTAATTTGCAACTAAACTTTGACATTAATTGCTTTTGGCTTACTAACGTGAACAATACATGACTACTACGTATGCCAGGGCCGAAGTTTACAAAAACTTGACCTACTCGTCAACACAAAGAACACAACTATAAGATAATCATGAAATCCAAATAAAACTCGGTTGAAGCTGCTGCAATGGAAAGGGGACCATTCCGGTACTCTTCAGATGTATGGTCTGCAAAAAAAAATTACAATAAGCTTCTGTTCCATAGGCCTCTTCCTTCGAATGAGGCCTGCGACTTTAAATGGACCTATTTAAAGTATTATCAATTTATAATTATAAAAAATACTACCTAACCGTGCCCACGACTTCATACGCGTAAAAATATGTAGATTGAATAATTTTTTTCCGTTTACGCAACCATTTTCATTAATGCTCTGCTCCTATTGGTCGTAGCGTGATGGTAAAGTCTATACCATTCCACTTTTTAAAATGGGCTATCCGACACAAAAAAACATCGAATAGACGTTCCTGAGGCTTATCAACCAAACAAACAAACTCTTCAGCTTTATAATATTAGTATAGCATACATTAAATAAAAGGAGTAATAGAAAATGTATTGCAAAATCTTAAAATGTCAAAGGCTTACCCTTTTTAATAATAAATCTTATATCGCCGCCATGTCCGCTCGCCCGGCTGGCTGACCAGGCGAATACGGTATGGCGGCTCGACGATCTTGACGGGCTTGACGGGCTCGGCGGGCTTGACGGGCTCGACGGGCTTGACGGGCTCGACGGGCTTGACTGGCTGGAGGGGCTTGACGGGCTCAACGGGCTCGACGGGCTCGTCGAACTCGACGGGATCGACGAGATATGCCTCTGCAAAAAACAACAATATGTAGCAACAGAAAATATGTTGAAAAAATCTTCCACTTTAAGCGTAGGCGCACACTAGGCAACGCGCGACAGCGACAGCTCGGCGACTTAGACGCGACGACAACCTAATATGAACTTGTCTAGAATAGGCGTGTAGTCACCGAGCTGTCGCAGTCGCGTGTCGTCTAGTGTGTGCCTACACTAAGCAAAAAGAGACGCTACCGTTGAACATCGTCACGACGCGGGTCCACCGCTCCTCTCCCGGCAGTCTCACCTTTATGCTTTTCATCCTAACACGTATCTGTAGCGCACTTCAGGGCGATCCATTGCGTCTCTGTAAGAAAAACCATTACCTTTACCTTGTTACCTTTACAATACACAAGTGATATATATAGAATAGCTGTGCTCGAATAGAATTATCATTTATCAGTATTAATAGTAAATAATGCGTCAAGTTGCTGTGAAAGAAACATCAGGTATAAACAGGTCATACATAATCCTACTAATATTAAATTATAATAATCTATAAAGGTAAACGAGACTTCAATAAATTCAATAGACCAAGTGCTTTAATGTCACGAAGACTACTCACTAAAAACGAATACATACTGACACTTACCTATAATTTATAATTTATTTTGTTACACTAATACAAACAACACAAACACAGACACTTATTTTCTCGATTAGCCACAAAAGGCACAACTAATCAAGAAGTGCACATCATAAAAGCCTTGTCTATTGCGTATTTTGTATCGTTTTTCCGGCTTTTAGGAAATATCGTAATCCCAAAGTGCACAAACATACAAAACAGTGTAAACTTAATTTTCTCAAATTGTGCGGCAATGATGATAGTTGTGCCATTTTGCGTATGACTATAATATTATTTTATTTTACTGAGACAGCAGTATTACTGCAAAACTATACGTCAACAACGTTTTAGTAAAAGTGCTACTATGCATTAGAAGAGAGATAAATAGATTCGTTCGTTCGTTCGTTTCAGCCAAAAGACGTCCACTGCTGGACAAAGGCCTCCCCCAAGGATTTCCACAAAGACCGGTCCTGCGCCGCTTGCATCCAGGTACTTCCCGCGACCTTCACCAGATCGTCGGTCCACCTAGTGGGAGGCCTGCCCACGCTACGTCTTCCAGCTCGTGGTCGCCACTCAAGAACTTTTCTGCCCCAGCGGCCATCATCTCTTCGAGCTATGTGCCTCGCCCACTGCCACTTGATTTTAGCGATTCTGCGGGCTATGTCAGTCACTCTGGTTCTCCTACGGATCTTCTCATTTCTGATTCGATCACGCAGGGAAACTCCGAGCATAGCACGCTCCATCGCTCTTTGGGTGACCTTGAGCCTTCTTATGAGGCCCATAGTAAGCGACCACGTCTCAAAGCCATACACCATCACATCACACACATAAATAGATTTATGTATGTATATTATATAGAACCGCTACATCTCTTTTTTTTACTAAAACTACAGTTAGTTAATAAGATATATAGCATAATAATAATTATTGATATATAGTATAGTACTAATTAATACATAATAACCAATACATTATGGAGATGACAATAAATTAGGACAAAGGTTATTTTTACTGACAAAATCAAATCGAAATACAAAGAAAAATTATAGCACAAGATCGAAAAAAGTTGGTAATATATTAGTAAGGGGGTTAGCATAAAGGTATATTAAACCTTAAGTTAGCATTCATTTTGACGTTTATCCCAATGCCTGGGGCGATCTAGCTAGTGATACACTATTGGCATAGACCGTACCATCTAAATGATGGAGCACGCTTAGTGCTACAAATGCGCAATTGAATTTACTGTCACCTCCACTCTGTGACTGCCACCAACTACTTGATTAATATTAATATAATGAAATAAAGCTTGATTAATATCTATACGATCGGTTAACGCCCCTGAATCCTTCAGCCATAGGTTCATCCTCAAAATACATGAACATGGCCTGTAGAGGGTTGACTTCCTGCTGCTGCGTAGCTGAAATAAGGAAAAATCGTCATTACCGGTTACCAAGAAAAAGAAAGATAGATAAAATATCATTATTATAAACAACATTAAGCAAAACTACTCATAAGTTAATTCTAAGAACCTTCATTTTTGAAATCAGTTAAAAAGCGTAAAAAATAAAAATCCTCGTTAATATCACACCAATTTATCACTAACGTAACCTAAACTATAGAAACACAATGATTACTACTATTATGATAATTTTACTTGTCACAAGATGTTAAGAAACTATTACATTCATTTTCATTTGACCTTTGGTCAGTTACTAACAACTATATTAACCTGCCACAATTTTGTTCTTCTTCAAGTACATTAATTTATAGTCCAGTCATTTGGTAGTTTTACATGGAAAGGAAATATTTAAAAATAAACTGCTATTAGACAGCATTTTTCCAATATTCCAATATAACAATAATTATGAGGTGGCAAAGTTTAAATTCGTAAAGAGCACATCGAAATCTATATAAATACCAATTTTCATTACTACCGGAAAACTTTCCAGGTAAAGCCATTATTTTGTAGCAAATGACTGGACTATTACGTATTTAAACAAAGTTTTGTTTCATAAATACTTACTAAAACCACGTATAATATTGTAATTTAATGAAAACTCACTCAAATACACACACACACATACACACACACACACACACATACAAACACACACAGGGTGTCCCAAAACTAGCACGTCAAACTGACACCAGACCTATACTTATATGCTTGGGTCGAATTAAACCAGTCTATAGAGTCCATTTTTTAAAATAACTAATATAAGTAGTTCATATTATTTCAAAACTCATCAACCTTTTCTATGGACATCAATGACTAAAATAGACGTGTTGACACCACCATAATCGATTGACGTACTTTTTAAAACTGTCAAAACGAAACTCTCCCATAGATTTTGTATGACACTACAAGCAAGTGACGTCACTATTTTGTCAACTCAATGAAACTACTTTTTTCAATTAAAATGCGACCAAAAATCGTTATTTACAGGTAATTTAAAAATAATTTAATATTTAAGAACAGAATGAAGTGTCCTTTAAGAAAAGTTATGTTTTCGAATTTTTGGGGAATGGTGTCAAATTGTCTATTGGCCATATCTCAAATCATATGAAACTTTTCTATTGACATTATTAGGCTTGTTCAGCTACCTCGAGTTCAGTGTGACGTGCTAATTTTGGTACAGCCTGTATACATTTTTGTCATCTTTTTTTCTTTTGTTAACGCAATTCACAAACATGCACAAAAGCACAAACCTAACACATTTTTTTTCCTTTTTTTAAATTTTTATAAGACATGTTTATAAAATAGCAAACAACAAACATTCAATCATAACACCTGTTTAATTTTGATTAACATTAGGTCTGAATTCATCAGAATCGGAGATTTCGGAATTCGTCCAGACATGTCTTAGACGATCTGACGCAATTTTAATAAATATTTTTGATGGGATACGGCTCACACAACGAATAACTCGATTTGCTGTAAAATAAAAATACATTATCAATTGCTAGAACTGAGGCCCCATTTACACACATACACAAGATAATAAATTGACTAAATCATTACCGTATCCTCATATCATACCAGTAGAAATTAATTTGTCAGTAATTAAATAAGAACACCTTTACCTAAGGAATGCTTAGTCACTTGTTAACGAAATGTAAACTGGGATGAAAAAAGACAAAACAATACAAAAATAATTTAATAAATAAAATTATACAAATTATATGAAGAAGGTTTAAAATATTTTCCATGAAAGAAAATACTTAAGTAAATGGTTTGTTTTTGTATGCTACAAATTAATTACACTACAAAATTGTATGCTACAAATTAATTACAGTACAAAATTACCATGACAAGATTACTTACTGGAGCCCACAAACTTACCTTACTTCAAAAAGATAAATACTATATTTTCGTGGCATCAAATGTTATTAATACCCAGCTTGTTTCCATTCTTCATTTCCATTTCCTTTATTATATAGTAATCTTGTACAACGGGTCACATTTTTTTTCCATTTATCTGTTAATGAGAGTCACTTCCACGTTTTAATATTTTATTGCAGTATCAGTGAACAAATGTTTTATTTTTTTGTGTTTTCCAAGAAAATATAATGTAGTTTATTTTATTTGTAATTTTCTATCCCCCGAAGAAAAAACGACGGGATGTTATAAGTTTGATTTAAATATTATTTAAAAAGTTTTTTTACAATTATTGTATGTTTTATTTTAAGACGCGTAAATTATTAATAATAGCTTAAAATACTAAAAACAACTTCGCTTATCCAGCATAAAAATTCTTTAAAACACTTTTAACCTTAAACTAGTAACTTAGCTAAGTGGACCTGTGGTTTAACAGCCAATCGCACAACGCCAAAAGGTACGCGTATTATGATTAGTGAGGGTGGTGAGTGTGTAGTGTCCGCCTTACCCGATCCGCACGCGTAGGGCGCGAACATTCGCACGAGCGACGCCGAAAGCGCCGCGAAGATCAGCGCCCACACTATGTAGAACAGGTAGCTGATGATATACGCGCCCGCGCCGTCGCGCGACTCCCCGAACACTTGCGCCCAGGTCATCCACTAGGACATAAACAAACTTCACTATACCATTCTCAACCGCCGCCCGCCTGCGCCTCCGGTGCACCACAAACCTGCGAGCAGTTCCCGTGGTCGAACGTCGTCTCGTTGCTAGACCAGCAGCACTGCTCCCGGTTGAACCAGAACGCTTGAGGGCAGATCCCGAACTTGAGGTCCGTCATCCAGGAGGCGCCGATGTCGATGACGCCGGCCACCACGCCCGTGCAAACACCCACGAGCAGCACGCACACCCATCCGGACCACGCGTCGTGTGCGCCCTACAACCACATCACGTGATATAAACTGCACTCTGATCCAGCGCTCAAGCTATGCGAACATTTACATTCGCCAATTTATAGCCGTGATAGCTGCACAACTTGTATCATAAAACGAATCATATTGCATGATATTGATGACCATGTTGGTTACATTTAAACGGGATGTCATTAATTGTTGAAGAGATGTATCTAGGTAGTATTGCATTCACAATCATTCATTCTGTATGTTGAAGACAATCAGTTCAAGGTCCTTAGAGGTGCCAAATCCCCCCACCAGCCCATGGCCTTAACTTGGCCGAATCTTGAGAGATGCACACGGAATTTGCGACTGCCAGGCAGCGTGCACTCCACCGCGTGCATTTCTTGACTCTCTACAAGTTGTTTAACTCTTTATCCTTTGACACCTCTGCAACTCTCCTCTTGACTGAGGCTTGACTTATTTGCCAAGTTCAGGAAACAGGTTACGCAGCAGGAAATCTTCAAATTGATGATTCCATTCATCAAATGACACTGCTGGTATTCATGACGCTAGCAGCATTACAGTAGTTTCTATACATGTTTGCTATCATTCATGTGTAACTATAGTTTACTCCATTTTTGATGTAACAAACATGGTCAGGTTCAACTTGTTTTAACTTACTTTTATTAAATCCCATAGTGAATCCTGCCTCTTTTTAACAATATATCGATGCCTCATCCGATCTCTAGCAATATCTCGCTGCCAATCAATTGTGTGAAAGTCATCATACTGTCCAATTCCGGGAATGTCATCGTCTCCTGTAAAGTATTTTTTTCAAAATGACAACATACTGTCTGATGTAACCAAAAGTAAACGCATTTTAATTTGTATAAAATTGTAAGTTATATTTACCCACAACCAGTGTGTTAGTATTTTTATGCTATAACCTGGTATATGAATCGGTCAAAATGAAAGAATGTTTCACACTTATCGTTATAATTTTACAACAAAAACTGCTTTTGAAATTAAAAATAAATCTCGTTTTTGGTAACTGCGAATTACATTAAGCGTATCAATTAGGAAAATATATGGGTGAATATGGAACATCTTTAAAACACAAAGTGTGACTTGCTTGATTATCATTATTATCAGTATTGGCCATAACACTGCTGAAAATCGAAATGAAACATTCATTTATGGGAGGAAGGTAAGTTGATTAGTATGCAAGAGATAACACTGAACAATGAAACCTAAGTTGATAATTACTTGGGTATTTTTGTGGCTTTTCGTGTAAGTTATCAGGCATTGGATTACTGAGTAGGATTTACTGAATTTGTAGATATTTCTCATGCTCAGGGACTTTTTATTTCGACACAAAATAGTGTTGAGAATGAATATTGATGTCTGACAAAGCGGGCTATGGCAAGGTGCTAGGGGATAACCTTCAATGGTTGTTGGCATTTCAACTAACCTTGCATTCCGGAAAATATAACTGCGTCCCCTGTAACAATATTTCACTAATGTATCAACTAATTCGATCCGAAGAAACCAGTTTCATCACTACAAATTGTTCCGACTTTTTTTCACTATAATAATGCACTACGCTAATTATATTGCACAGTTAGCATCAAATGCGTCGTCAAATCTATACACTAATAAACTAATTGACTGTTAAGATACGAAGTCTGGATTAAATTTAATAAAAACAAAGGAAAATAGACACCTCAATCAATGGTGCAAAAAGGATCGACTTTCGACGCACAAACGTCAACTCAAGTGTTGCCTGTATGAAATAATAATTTCACCCATTGCGTTTTAGGGTAAATTTATTACAGGGTAAAAAAAATATACTTACGAAATAGGATTCGTGAAATAGTGTGAAACTGTACATTAATAATATTTAATATAACTTTTATATAAATAATTTCAAATTTCGCAGCCTAAAGTGTGCTAAAGTGCACCGCGCTTGGAGCTATGAGTGGCTGGTGACGTCTACGGTTCTAGTCACGTGCAATAGTTGTTTATTTTTGTGCCGCCGTTTCATTTGTATGCTGTGCTATACAATGAGTGATGAAAGTCTTAGTGGGTAAGATAAAACACATAAAACAATAAGTTGTAGCGCGTAATTACGAAATGGAAGCTTAACTTAATAGTACAAAGATATTTTACCTACATCGCTGACCAACGGTTCAGTTTCACTATTATCGGTTTCCACCATCATGATAATAAATCATCTAATAACTTAGTACACTTGTATGTTACTTCAATAGTCAACACAAACTGATAACAAATTTGAAAATTATAAATAACTTGAAAAAATTCGCTGTAACAGCGTATTACACTTGAAAATTTCGACGGGTTCATCCAGTGTCTAAGTAGCTCAGTTGGAAGAGCAGTCGCCCGGCAAGCGGAAGGTCGTGGGTTCAATTCCCGCCTTAGGCAGTTCGATTTTTTCAAGTTATTTATAATTTTCAAATTAGTTTGAGATGCGACTCTAAACGCTAAAAATTTAATAACTATGTAAAAGAGCTGTTTCATCTTAACTGACAGTTAAATATTTGCAACAATATTTCTGTTAGATGTAGGGTAGGTATACTTAACATTGATGAAACAAACGCTGGCTGTAACAGCGTATTACACTTGAAAATTTCGACGGGTTCATCCAGTGTCTAAGTAGCTCAGTTGGAAGAGCAGTCGCCCGGCAAGCGGAAGGTCGTGGGTTCAATTCCCGCCTTAGGCAGTTCGATTTTTTCAAGTTATTTATAATTTTCAAATTAGTTTGAGATGCGACTCTAAACGCTAAAAATTTAATAACTATGTAAAAGAGCTGTTTCATCTTAACTGACAGTTAAATATTTGCAACAATATTTCTGTTAGATGTAGGGTAGGTATACTTAACATTGATGAAACAAACGCTGGCTGTAACAGCGTATTACACTTGAAAATTTCGACGGGTTCATCCAGTGTCTAAGTAGCTCAGTTGGAAGAGCAGTCGCCCGGCAAGCGGAAGGTCGTGGGTTCAATTCCCGCCTTAGGCAGTTCGATTTTTTCAAGTTATTTATAATTTTCAAATTAGTTTGAGATGCGACTCTAAACGCTAAAAATTTAATAACTATGTAAAAGAGCTGTTTCATCTTAACTGACAGTTAAATATTTGCAACAATATTTCTGTTAGATGTAGGGTAGGTATACTTAACATTGATGAAACAAACGCTGGCTGTAACAGCGTATTACACTTGAAAATTTCGACGGGTTCATCCAGTGTCTAAGTAGCTCAGTTGGAAGAGCAGTCGCCCGGCAAGCGGAAGGTCGTGGGTTCAATTCCCGCCTTAGGCAGTTCGATTTTTTCAAGTTATTTATAATTTTCAAATTAGTTTGAGATGCGACTCTAAACGCTAAAAATTTAATAACTATGTAAAAGAGCTGTTTCATCTTAACTGACAGTTAAATATTTGCAACAATATTTCTGTTAGATGTAGGGTAGGTATACTTAACATTGATGAAACAAACGCTGGCTGTAACAGCGTATTACACTTGAAAATTTCGACGGGTTCATCCAGTGTCTAAGTAGCTCAGTTGGAAGAGCAGTCGCCCGGCAAGCGGAAGGTCGTGGGTTCAATTCCCGCCTTAGGCAGTTCGATTTTTTCAAGTTATTTATAATTTTCAAATTAGTTTGAGATGCGACTCTAAACGCTAAAAATTTAATAACTATGTAAAAGAGCTGTTTCATCTTAACTGACAGTTAAATATTTGCAACAATATTTCTGTTAGATGTAGGGTAGGTATACTTAACATTGATGAAACAAACGCTGGCTGTAACAGCGTATTACACTTGAAAATTTCGACGGGTTCATCCAGTGTCTAAGTAGCTCAGTTGGAAGAGCAGTCGCCCGGCAAGCGGAAGGTCGTGGGTTCAATTCCCGCCTTAGGCAGTTCGATTTTTTCAAGTTATTTATAATTTTCAAATTAGTTTGAGATGCGACTCTAAACGCTAAAAATTTAATAACTATGATAACAAATTTTTAATAATTCATTGAATCATGTTTTTAATCTTATCTTTGCTACATGTCTGATATATTGATATTTTAACAAGCATGAAAGTGAATTTTTCATGTGTGCCTGGTAGGTAGGTCATCCGAAAAGAACATACAATTTTAATTTTAAAAAACTTGATTTTTAGATAATTTATTATACAGGGTGGAATTTGTAATGCCACCTGGGGGGAAAGTACTCTTAATATTGTAGATATTTTTTTTATCAAAGAAAACATTCCTTTATTTTTGAAAAGAAATAGAACTGCATTCAAAGATTTCCAAAAATTTGCTAGCCACACCCCGGAATCAAACCAACTAAAATCTGTTAAAAATTAAATCCTGTACCTATTTTTATTACATCGATCATTAGGGTTAAGTATAAGGACGAAATCTCTCTAACAAACTTGGTAAATCAAATGAAAGGAAGTGAGGCACTATTGTATTGCTTGTATAACACGAGCTATCCTACCTTAATATTTTGCCTTAAATATATTATTTAATTTAATGACATCTACGTACAACTAAATAAATAATGAATGAGGGTGTAGGTACACATTAATCACAGTAATATAACTATTGTTTACTATTGTTGATTGTATTGGGCAATGATGAGGCTACTCAATACGCTCTACCTACAGAAGGCATAAGTAATGCATTATACAGGAGGTTTCCTGTAGGATGTCATGTAGTTGCGAAGTGAAAGGTGAGAGCCAACCATTACCTGTCGATTTAACCCCCATGTACCTATGTTCTACGATGTTCGTAGTTTATGAGTTATCATTAATTTTATATTTTTTTAAATGTTATATGACATTAGGCTTTAAATGTGTTGAAGTATATGTTTTCGGATTGGATTTTTCGTATGTTTTTTTAACAGAATAGCTATCAATATTGTAGCTGTGGGACAAAATACTGACCTTTCCTATCTTTAGTGCTAGATACAATTAAAAAAAAATGTCTTAATAAATTATGAAAAACTAGCCGTGCGTGCCAACCGTACGATGTGGATGTCATTGGGGAAGACCTTTGTCCAGCAGTGGACTGAAACGAACGAACGAACGATATTACTAGCTGAGTCCGCGACTTCGTATGCGTAAAAAAATTAAGATTCTGCACGATCTTTCCCATTTTTTTAATAAGAACCTTCTCCTGTTCCGTTCGAGAAATTTTAATCGGTTCAGCCGTTTTTACGCGTGATGCGATGACCAAGGAAAATGTCCATTTTTTTATGTACTAAGATGTGATGTTTCCTATGTGTGTGCTATAAAACGTTGCTTCATGCCAAAATTAATTGATTGTAGATCGTCTGGAACTATCCAGCTTATAGGTATGATATTATGATGAATCAGCTTGATACCTCACTTATTTTACCACTTTGTCGGCGTGATTAATATACATTTCCTCCACAAAATTACAGCTCTCTAGTGCCAATAGTTTTATAGTTTTCAAGCAAAACCTCGGACGGACAGACAGACAGACGTTCCTTGTCAGGAATACGGCACCCTAAAAAGGGTGACAAAGTTGACAGACTGACAAACAGAGTACAGAGTCTGTACTTATAGGATCACTTTGTTGTCCGTCTGTAGTACGTCTGTACTACAGACGGACAACAAAGTGATCCTATAAGCCTTACACCTATAGCCTTATAGTATAAGGGTTCGGCTTTTTCTTTTCGAGGCACGTAACCCTAAAAAATATATTAAGGACACTATTTCTTGTTATCGCCCCACTAAAGTGATAAATCGGAAATTTCATTACAAATGTTTATACTTTTTGTAAATTAATTAATGTTTGCAATCCTCTAAGATTACATTACATAGAACAGATTTAGAGACAATAACTGAACATAACATTTTTTATCGATATAACCTGATGGTAAAGAGATGGCCAGGCCGAACGAAAAAAAATGATCTGTTCTGTTATTGTCGCTAAGTGTGTTCTATGCAATGTTATCTTAGTTTATTGCAAACATTAATTAATTTTAAGAAAGTAAAAAACATGTAACGGTACAACTACAATTGATAGCGATTCTGTTTAAAAATAAATCTATGAGAGTCAACCTGAAACAAAGATTTTAAAAAATTAGAAAAAAGTTGAAAATAATTAGAATAAATATAAAATTAATCATAACTCCTAAACTACGAAAACTCGTAGAATATACATGAGGGTTAAATAGATAGACAGCTACGGTCCTCACTTTTCACCTCGCACCGGTTTGACTCCTTACAGGAAACGCTATGTGCTATTGCTTAAGCTATGTTCTACTTCTAGAAATAGAATGGAAGTATCTGTAACTGATGGTTATGATAATACTAATGCTAAATGTACGATAAAGTTATTTTCGCTATGTGGTTAATTAATTATCTGAAGCCCAACTAATGTAATCTTACCAGTAGAACTGAAGTACTGAGCGATGTACGCTTGAAATAGAAAAAAAAATTGATTACGTATAGAATATTGTTTCTACTTAAACCGAAAGAGTTGGGGTAAATATACATATTGAATAAAAAAAAACTTAATTATTTTTAATATTGTCATTCATAGCAATAACGGCGCACTAACAAAAGTTAACAATGTGTTATGTATGCTATAGTGCAAATAATATTTAGCTAAGTAAATAAGTGCTACGTTGAAAAAAGTTACAAGTAACTTTAAAAATCCTTTAATGAATTTTATTTATACTTAGATAACATTAATTTTTACACGAGCAACTTTCACTGTATTAATATTGCAGCATCGTGAAAGCCACTCTTACAAATAAGACTGAAAAAGGCGTATAATACAGCGACATAATTATTGATTATTGTGACAGCTGCAGATCTGAATGACTGCAGTTTCAGAAGAACATCAACCAATCACAAAGTGACAAATATCTTAAAGCCTTATAAAAAAAATAAAGAAGAAAATCTATTGCAGATGAAATTCGTCATTATGTGGTAGGCTGATGTGTTGGCTGAAGAAGCAAACTGTACTTACCTAAAGATGGTAGCACTTAAAGTAGGCAGGCGGAGGTCAAGAAAACAAAATTACTTACAGTTAGCGCTGGCAGCAGAATTTCTGCCCCCGTGCTCGTATAGCTGAAAAGTGCCGTGGTTGGTCGGGGTTGTCTCGGCGGCCTGCTGCAGCCCAGGGGTTATATCTACCATGTCATCTTCAGAGTGTATGTTGCGCCCATTTGACGCACCCCCACCACCCTGGTAAAATATCTTCAGTGTTACCAGTTGCAAAAATGAGTTTTTTTATGATTTAAATGCAATTGAGTATTAAAATTCAGGTACCACGTTACTAGTTACTACGAGTATTTAATGTAAAACTGCCATAATGTAAAACCAGTTGATTTGAGTATTAGAGTGTTTCCTAATATTTTCTGTGTTATGACGAATTGATGTTTCCTATGTTGTTGTGTTTTGTGTAGTTGGTGTAGTTTGTAATAAGATTTTTTTTCTAAATATAAACAAACGCGGATGTTAAAATATTTTTACTTGTCTTTCTTTCTTTCTCTCTCCTATCTACAACGTGCTCGTTTTGAAATTTTTGAAAGAAATGTTTCTTAACTTTTTATTGTAAATTAATTAATGTTTGCAATCCTCTAAGATTACATAACATCGAACAGATTTAGAGACAATAACTAAACGTAACATTTTTTATCGATCTAGCCTGATGATGGTGTAAGAGATGGTCAGGCCCATGGACCTATAAAAAAAGTCGGACGGATTCTCATCAACAAAATACTGTGACATTAGGATACACCAGCTTGCCTGTACGTACAGGCCGGCACGCACACATTCACACCCTGATACACCACTTCGAATGCAAACTTCACACAGTTGACTCATTTAAGCAGCGAAAAAACAACACGAATACGACATGTCTTGTGTGACGAAATTGTGTAAAAACCGTTCTGTTCGAACAAACAAAAATTAAGGAATCACATTTCACAGGCAAAATAATAATCCAATCACTTATTTCCCGACATTAAAATATTGAAATTAATTGAAATCAAACGTCATTCACTAGAAAAAATAATACGTCAAAGACTAGTGTTCTCAGTTATTTACGTGGGAAAATTACCCGAAATATGGGAAATTAATAATAATTTTAGGACTTTTTAGTTATTTATTACGCATACTATGGAAATAAAATAATTTATCATAATAATTGTGTTTTAATGGGATATATTTTCATAGGCAAATTTATGCGTTGGTATATATAACTCATTTTGGCCAAAATGTCCCTTACATTAATTGATACTTCCACTATCGATGTACAGTCACGGAATGAAAAGGTTCGTCAGTTTTCAAATTGATTCCTTCAACGAATCGCGAGCACATATTACCTTTTGAAACTATGTTACAGAATAATCTCAAATTAGAGAAAATAATCTTTAACTGTTCGTCAGTAAAGTTCAAAATTATTCAGATCAAAGTTGTTTGACGATTTATCTTGTCAAGAAGATTATTATGATTGATAAACTAAAACCTTCTTGTTGGTTCAACCTGCCATTATTATGTCTATTAAATAAAAAAAACTATTGTCAATTGGTCAATGTCATCATTGCATTGCACTGATGGGATAGAAAAATAAACAAGCAAAACCTTATTCACAGTAATACTATCATACAGTATTGTAACTTCATATAAACGGACGAAACGCGAGCTTTCCTTCGAAATTCAAATCTCGGTATGCGCTCGACATGCAAAAGTCGGGGGTGTCGCGAATGTGCCACAGTAATAAACGGACGATGTGTTGTTTTTTAATCAGTAAGCGCTCTTTTTTTAATAAAAATAATTACAAGTACCTATTTATACAGGGTGTTAGGTAAATGGGTTTATAAGCCGAAACTAGTCCATGTTAACATTAAATGGTATGGTGAGGTCAGTGATATCATCATTTTAATTTTCATACAAAATAAAATTTATAAAATCAGATTTGTATGAAAATTAAAATTATCAAAATGATGATATCAATTTTCTGACTTCACCATACCATTTATATGCACATGTTAACATGGGCTAGTGTCGGCTTATAAACCCATTTACCTAACACCCTGTATAATGATCAAGCATTTTGTACGCCAAATTTATAATCACAAAACAATGTTGATAAAATACATGTGTATTTTTATCCTATTTCATTCAAGAAGTATTTTGTTTGTTAAAATAAAATAAAAATTACAATCACAAAATAAATTTACAAAACTAGATAGAAATTCTAAGTAGGCAGATGTAATGAAAATAGGGTCTGCAGGAGGGCAGCCCTATCGCATGTTGTCATACCGTGACGTACCGCGCGGCTGTTGACATTTATTTTAAAAATATGGCCGAGTTGGAATACTGTATAGATAGTATTACCGTGCCTTATTCGTCAGCAAACGTCATATTTATTTAAATGTTAGCAGCACTGTTTCTTGCACTGTTATGTTGGCAGGTTTGACTCTTTGGTGCAAGCGAAAACGGACACTAAGGTGACGAACCTTTTCATTCCGCGACTGTACATACCCTGACACACTGACTTGCAAACAATGTAAGAAAATTTGAACATTGAAAATTTCGCGCCTCAACCTCACCGCATTCACCTTTCATCCTTTTAAAATGGCACGGAATAATTCTGTCTACATTTCCAAGTAACATCTGCCGATCTATGTTTTTCTTAAAATAAATGGGTAAAATGTTTTGGCTAACATGGCATCCCTAAATTCACTCACACAATAGACAAACGCCAAAATTTTGCGTCACAGTTTTGTTGCAGCGCGAGTTCCGTCCGCCTTTTTTTATAGGTCCATGGTCAGGCCGAACGAAAAAAAATGATATGCTCTGGTATTGTCTCTAAGTGTATTCTATGCAATGTTATCTTAGATTATTGCAAATATTAATTAATTTTAAGAAAGTAAAAAGCATGTAACGGTACGATGAATTTGATATTATTAACTAAGGTGTTTTTGTCTGGGTTATTTAACTATTATTTTGTACGAAAAAATAAGTAAAACAAAAGGCCCGCGACTTCGTATTCGTAAAAAATTTTGCACAACTTTCACAATTTATTTTATAAGAACCTTCACTTGACGATAACAAACAACAAAAAAAGAATTAGAGAAATCAGTTCAGCCGTTTACGCGTGATGCGATGACCAAGGGAAATTTTTCACATAATATATTTCCACGTTTTTCCTCCACGTGTAAGATGCCCACTCGATGGGTTTATTTATAACTAGCGGCCACCCGCGACTTGATACGCGTGGATCCCGTTTTACCCCCTTAGGGGGGGTGGTTTCGTAAAATCCTTCCTTAGCGGATGACATCATAACATCTACCTACATGCCGAATTCCAGCCCGATCTGTCCAGTGGTTTGGGCTGTGCGTTGATAGATCACTATGTCAGTCAGTGAGTCAGTCAGTCACCTTTGGAAATTTCATCCCATCCATGTTTTGACCACTCTCAAGCTTGCTTAATGCTCGGTCACATCACACATCGAACCTTTGATCATTCCCAAAGTTGCCTAACTTCCAACTTTCGTTCACCCATCCAACTTTTGACCACGGCCAAGGTTTTTTTTAAATTCTAGTTCCTCTGACATGATCAGAGACTTTGTTATCATAGACTGACGACATCATAAAGGTAGCAGGAAGACGCTGCACGCTGGACGCAAGCCGGAAATCATTGGACATGAAAATCATTGCACATGGAAATCATTGGACATGGCAATCATAGGACATGGAAATCATTGAGCATAGAAATTATTGCACATGCAAATCATTGCACATGGAAATCATTGGGCATGGAAATCATTGGACATGGAAATCATTGGGCATGGAAATCATTGCACATGGAAATCATTGGGCATGGAAATCATTGGACATGGAAATCATTGGGCATGGAAATAATTGCACATGGAAATCATTGGACATGGAAATCATTGGACATGGAAATCATTGCACATGGAAATCATTGAACATGGAAATCATTGGGAATAGAAATCATTGCACATGGAAATCATTGGACATGGAAATCATTGGACGTGTAAATCATTGGACATGGAAATCATTGAGGGAGGCCTATGTTCTATGTTGACGTCCTATGGCTGAAATGATGATGATGATTAAGGTTATTTAGCTTCCGGTCACCCATCCAACTTTTGACCATTGTCAAAGTTGCTTAACTTCCGGTCACCCATCCAACTTTTAACCATTATCAAAGTTGCTTAACTACCGGTCACTATCCAACTTTAGACCATCCCCAAAGTTACTTAGCATTAAATTTTTGTTAAATACTTATTACACCCGTGCGACGCCGGGGAGGGCCGCTAGTTAATTGTAAAATACTAACAAATTATCATCGTAATATTATTATTTCTTACTTTTTTATTATAAGTACATATAGTTTGATTGTTTGTTTAAATATTTTCAAATCTATTAAAGACTCAAAACTTCAAGAACTTTATTTCTCATAAGAATTAACAATAATTCACTTCCTGAGAAACGTTTCAATTTAAATTATTAAACATAATGAGTGTACAACTAATTACAAACAAAATCAAGGTGTTGAATGCACAATTTTAGGAACTAGGTACGGATTTGTTTTTAAAAAATATTGTCCATTTATCGAGCAAGGTTATGCTATTAATAACACGCTAGGATCAATAGGAGCGGAGCATAAATGAAACGTGTAAAAACGCAATGTATTCAAACAATGTTCACGCGCACGAAATCGCAGGCACATCACGATCTAGGAAGAGGATCGAGAGAGAAAGAATGTAAGTAGGAACTGGATATAAACGGGGGTCAAGAAAGACAATCATATCAGCTAAGGTAATGTGAAGAGAAGGTGAGTGAGAGAACTTGCGAAAGTGATTTTCAAATACGATCGTCCTAGTATCGCATAAAAAAGCGTTTTATAAAAATTGTGTACAACATATTGTACGGCGAAATAAGCTAGTTCCAAAACGCGAGTGCGTGTTTTAGCGTTTGTAATTAATGTGTATCGTGTTCTGTGTAAGAGTAATGATCAATCCCACCAAAAACATTCTGTAAAAAACTAGCCAAGTCTCGATGGAGCTGCTTGTTTATCTCTAAAAAGTAATTAGACAAAGTCGTGCCAAGTCTATGGTTCCTTACTTCGATTTCTTTATTATTATACATAGTTAATGTTGTGTGACTTGGCCATTGAAGGGTACAAAACCAGGTGCTCCATGACACCAT